CCGGCAATGCACAGGGGTTCCTCCTGGCTCTGCACTCAGGAATCACCCCTGGAGGTGCTCAGGGGACCATATGGGATACTGGGATTCGAACCTGGGTTGGCCGCATGCAAGGCAAATGCCCTACCCGCTGTGCTATTGCTCCAGCCCCCAATAATTTATTTTCCATTGCTCATTTTGAATATCATGAGAGCTCACAAGGCCACGATTATAAATGTAAATTTCTAGATTGTAAATGATTGGGTTCCAGAGACATGGAACTAATCCATTTTGGGATTCAACTGGAAGTCTCTGGGCCAGGGCTGTTGGAGCCTAAAATGGCACCCAGAGGCAAATTGTGGGTGTGACATCCTGTCTTCTGGGTGGGTGGGGACCCAGGGAGGGGCAGCCCAGGAGATTTAGTCCTGGAACTGGCCTATGGGGGGTGGGTGGGGGTGGGGTGCTTGTGGAAGCTCTTGGTCGCTGGGATTCTATCTGGAGTGGGCGGGGAGAGCACACCTGCTCCATCTGGGGTGCCCCGGTGAAATTGGCTTGGTATGGGGCCTGGAGAGATCTCTGGCACTGTGGTGTCTTCCAGGATTCAGGGCAAGCATTTCTACATGCTGTAGTATTGCTCCACCCCCTTGGGGTCAACTTTCATCCAGACTGGTCTCATTTATGATTTTTTTGTTGACTTTTTGGGTCACACTGGCAATGCTCAGGGGTTATTCCTGGCTCTGCACTGAGAAATTACACCTGGCGGTGTTCGGTGACCATATGGGATTCCAGGGATTGAACCTGGATCAGCCACATGTGGGGCAAATGTCCTACCCACTGTCCTATTGTTCCAGTCCACCCATAATTTGACCCTTGCAAGCAGATTTCCAGTAAGGTGATGAGGTGCTATGTGGGACCAGGTGGTGATGGAGGGTCCCTAACACTCAAACAGGGTCTTTTGTTTTGTTTTGGTGTTTCTGCCATACCTGGGTATGCTCAGGGCTCACACCTAGAGCTTGGGGGACTGTGTGGGGTATCAGGGATTGAACCCAGGTCAGCACCATTCCCCCCCCTTAGCCCCCCCAACACGATCTTTTGGTTTATTGTTTTTGTTTTTTGGGTCCACGCCTCGAGATGCTCATGGACTACTCCTGGCTCTGCACTCAGGAATTACTCCTGATGCTGAGGAAAGAACCCATGTCTGCTGCATGTACTCTCTCTCCAGCCTGAGCTGATCTTTTATCTACTGAGCATGACCTTTTATTGACTCATGGTTTATGGATGAATCAAAATGAATCAATACACCAGTCAGTGCTCAGGGCCTACTCTCCGTCGGAGTTCTGGTCACTTCTGTCGCTGCTGGGAGGCCATAAAGCACCAGTATGGAACTCAGGTTTCCTCCTGTGATCCAGTCCTGGCTTCTCTACATAGTCTTCATGTGTGTGGAGGTTGGGGTTGGTTATAGTTCACCGTGGGAGGAGAAACTTGCAGATGGAGGGACAGTGGGTCCACAGGGAACCCCCAAAGGCAGAAGTGGGGCCGGAGTGTTTCCGGAAGTAGAAGATTCAGCCCAGCTGAAGAGAAGCAGGGACGGGTGGGGGGGGGGGGAGGGGAGAGGGGGGTATCTGGCCCTGTAGGAGGGGCACACAGGCTGGTCTTGGGGGGGAAACGCAAATCTTAGCGACTTGGAGGTAACTCTCCAAGGGTGTCATGGGATTTACAGGCTGACCCTCCAGGGGAGACTGGGAAATACCTACCTGGGCATGGTGGCACTTTTCCTGGGGATCTTGCCCCTCCCAGCTGTCATACCCAGGGAAGCTTCGAGGCCTAGTGGTCTGGTCTCTTAGCCTAATTCTGGGTGAAGCTTTGACCTGGAAGACCACTGACTTCTCTCTCACACATGACAGGATCTGACTGGTGTGTGGGTAACTCTCCTCACAGCTGGAGTCAGAGCAGACGTGGATGCATGGATGCGGGAGGGAAGCCTTGCAGGGTGAGGAGACTTTGGTGGGGGGTGCATGACTGAGCCTATGGCACCATGCGAATTCCTGTCTATGTGCTGTTAATGCTACACCCCCCCACCCCGACAAGGGAGAGTATGAAGGTAGGAATTTTGGATCTTCCCCTACTGCACTTCACGCGTTATCCTGAGAAAATGACTGGTGGATGTTGAACTTGGGCTGGATGCTTGTCAGGCAAGAGCCCTAACCTCAATATACTGGCACCTCTCTGGGGGCCTCTGGAGCCTGTTTCTTTGTTGTTTTGGGGCCTCACCTGGCAATGGTCGGGGCTTACTCCTGGAGCTGCACTCAGGAATTCTTCCTGGCAGTGCTCAAGGAATCCTATGGGATGCTGGGGATCAAACCTGGGTCATCCGTGTGCAAGGCAAGCACTCTCCCCGCTGAATTACGACTCCAGCCCCCTGGGCTCCTGCCTGATTTGAGACTCACCCCAGTCATGGAAGATGCTCTCCACTCTGAGTGTGTATGAGGGAATCAGAAATGGGGACTAGGCTAATTCCACACAGCCAGGGGCCTGCGTCTCACAAGGGCCCGGTTGCAGTATGACACTTCTCTGCTCACATCATCCCTTCCCCTTCCCTCTGCAGCCTTTTGTTTGTTTTTGTGGGGGGGTGCACCTGAAGATGCGCAGGGGTTACTCCTCCCCCCCACACCAAAAATAAAAGAATCGGCTGGAGCAATAGCATAGCGGGTAGGGCATTTGCCTTGAATACAGCCGACCCAGGTTCGATTCCCAGCATCCCATACGGTCCCCCGAGCACCACCAGGAGTAGTTTCTGAGTGCATGAACCAGGAGTAACTCCTGTGCATCATCAGGTGTGACCCGAAAAGCAAAAATAAATAAATAAAAATAAAAGAATTACCCCTAGAGACTGGAACAATAGTACAGTGGGGAGGGTGTTTTTTTACCTTGCACACGGTTGATCCTGGTTCAATTCTCAGCATCTCATAAGGTCCCCTGAGGACCACCAGGAATGGTTCCTGAGCAGAGTGCTAGGAGTAATCCCTGAGCACTGGGTATGCCTCCAAAACAACAAAAAATAATTACTCTTGGTGGGACCCTATAGGATGCCACGGATCAAACCTGGGTTGGCTGCCATTTCTCCATCCCTCCTCTGCAGGCTTGATTTTATTTCAACAGCTCTGGGGAACAAACCTAGGACCTCACCAAGGTCACAGGCCTGCTGCTGGGCCATAGCCTTGTACTCGTTTGTTTGCTTCTTGGGGGGGCCACACCTGGTGGTGATGCTCAGGGCTTATTCCTGGCTCTGGGTGTGGGTGGATGCCTAGAGTTAGCCCAGGTCAGCTGTGCACAGCAAGCTCACTGGCCCCAGCCCTGCACTCTTGATTTATGTGGAGGCTTTTTTTACATTTTGCAGGGAGGCCCACGTGGACCTGGCAGCGCTTGGGGACCAGGTGGCGCTGGGGATCCAAGCTGGCCCCCCCCCCCCCCCCCCCCCATGCAAGTCTGCTTGGCATATGCTGAGTCAGTCCCGGGAGTGCTCTCTCCAGCCCTCATGAGCTACTCTAAAACTTCTCTGCCAAGTATTGGTGAGAGTATTTTGCAAACTGTGAGTGCACTTCTGGTCCAAGTGTTCACCGTGGACAGGGCTGAAAAGGGGAATTCCAAGGAGAGGTCAGAGAAGCCTCAGGAACAGAGGATGAAGTGAGTTGATGCTCCGAAGCATTTTGTGGTTGCCTGTAGACAAACTTTTTTTTCCTGGCCTGTTTTCAGGGCCTACTCGTTGCTCTGCACGTTGGATCACTCCTGGTGGGCTCAGGGAACCCTGCGGAATACAGGGTGAGCAAAGCAAGTGCCTGACCCGCTGTACTATGGTTCTTAAATCAAGCTGACTTTGAACTGAAATCCTGATGTCTTCAGGGCTCGGATAGCCCAGGCCCTAGTTTTTGTTTTTTTGGGGGCCACACTTGGCAGTGCTCAGGGCTTACACTTCAGGGATCACCGGGCTCCGGGGACCATACAGGATGCCAGAGATTGAACCTGCGTTGGGCCCTTGCAGTACAAGTTACACAGCGATTCTGGCCTACAGGCTCTTGTTTCTGCAAGCTCCAGGGTGGGGACTTGGGGTGTGCTGGCTTAGGGAGATGCCCACAAGCCTTATGCAGGGCTTTTCTGACCAGCAAGGTTTTAGTTTTGGGTTCTAGGGCGATCCCTAGCAGGGCTCAGGGGTAACTCCAGGCTCTGTGCTCGGGGGTTACTCCTGGCAGGCCCAGGTTACTCCTCGGGGCCCCTGTGCGGTGCCAAGCATGAAACTTGGGTCCTTCCAGGAAGGTCAGCTGACTCCACGTCCCCGAACACCCCCCACCCCGCGCAAGCTGCCGCATTTCCCGGGAAGGGCACCCCTCCCGTAAGCACGAAAGACCCGAAGACTCTCCGGGAGTCCCAGGTACCGGTCGAGGCGGGGTGACCCAAGCGGGGAGCGTTGACGTCCCCCCTTTTTCCCGCCTAGTCCAGGCCGGCGGCGGGGCCCGCCCAGCGGCCAGTCCCCGCCCCGCAGCCCGGCCCGGAGGCGGCAGAAAGGGCGGGAGCGCCCGCCGGGGATGGGACGGGGGGCGTCAGCGACCCCCGGGGCGGCGTCCGGTCCCTGAGCGCCGGGGACTGGCGTCGGGGCGGGCGGCCGGGCTTCCCGGACTTCCGCGAACTGTTTCCTCTTTTGGGAGCCGGAAGGGCCCATCCGGGGCAGGGGCCGGCGGGCGGCCGCGGTGGGGCTGGCCCTCGGGGCGGGCCCGGCGATCCCCCCGCCCGGCAGTCGCCGCCGAGAAGCAGGCGCCGCGCCGCCCGGAACCCTCGGCCCAGGCCCCGGCTCGCGCGGGTTCGGAAAAAGGAGGACAAAGCCCGCCCGGATCCGGCGTGCGCGCGCGGCCGCGGCCAATGGGGCGCCGCGGCGGGGCTGAGTGACGGGCGGGCGCGGCCAATGGGCGGGCGCCTTGTTGCGAGGTGGCGCCGGGCCCCGGCAGTATAAAGCGCGCCACGAGTCGGCATTGTCAGGCGGCAGCACCGCGCGGGCCGAGGGTCTCGTCGGCGGGTCCCGAGTGGCGGCGGCGGCGGCGGCGGCGCGAGGTGTCGGCGGCCGGCGCGGGCGGAGGCGAGGCCCGAGGCGCGAGCGCCGTCCCGGCGGGTGGAGCGAGCGGGCCCCGCGGCGTCAGCGTCAGCGGCGGCGGAGGTGGGTGAGCGGGCCGGGCCGCGCCGGGCCGCGCCGCGCCGGGGCCGCCGGGGCCGCCGGGGCCTGACGACGTTGCGTTGCAGGAGCCGCCGCGCCCCGGCCCAGCATGTCGGAAGCGGGTGAGGAGCAGCCCATGGACACGGCGGGCGCCACCGAGAACGGCCACGAGGCCGCCGCCGAGGGCGAGGGCCCGGCCGGGTCCGGCCCGGGGGCGGCGGCGGCGGCGGCGGGCGGCGGGGGCGCGGCGGCGGCGGCGGCGGCCCCGGCCGGCAACCAGAACGGGGCGGAGGGCGACCAGATCAACGCCAGCAAGAACGAGGAGGACGCGGGGTAGGTGCGGCGCGCGGGCCTTTGTTCGGCCGCCCGGTGCGGCGCCACGCGGCGGGGGGAGGGGCGGCGCGGACGCGGGCGGGCGGGCAGGCCCCCGGGTGGCCGGGGACCCCCCGCGCCACGGGTGTCCCCTGCCTGCCTGCCGCAGGAAGATGTTCGTGGGCGGCCTGAGCTGGGACACCAGCAAGAAGGACCTGAAGGACTATTTCACCAAGTTCGGGGAGGTGGTGGACTGCACGATAAAGATGGACCCCAACACGGGCCGGTCGCGGGGCTTCGGGTTCATCCTGTTCAAAGACGCCGCCAGCGTGGAGAAGGTGCGCGGGGCGGGCGGCCCGGCAGGTCCCGGGTGGCAGGGACCCGCCACTGGCATGGTCCTGGGGTGCTGTGACCGGTCGCTGCACCAGCCTCAGGGTCGTGGTGGGATGGAGGAGACGGGATTGGCTCCTTCCAGCCCCTTTGGCAGCAGAGGACCAAGGGGGGGGGTCCTTGTTTTAAGGAGGTGGCGCGTGGCGCCCCCAGCTGGAGCCCTCGGGCACTGCCCTGGCCATGGGGCGGGCTCCTGGGGGCGGGGGGAAGTGGGCAGCGGGCAGAGGGCCCCGAGCAGGAGGGCTGGTGCCGGGTTCCAGGCCCTCAGGGCTCCGATTCCTGCCACATCCAGGTCCTGGGCCAGAAGGAGCACCGGCTGGACGGCCGGGTCATCGACCCCAAGAAGGCCATGGCCATGAAGAAGGAGCCCGTCAGGAAGATTTTCGTGGGAGGTCTGAACCCTGAGGCCACCGAGGAGAAGATTCGCGAGTACTTCCGCGAGTTTGGGGAGGTGAGTGGCGCCGTCGCCCCGGGGCTTCCCTGCTCCCACTCCCGCTCCCGCCTGGCCCGCTCCTGAGCGCTCTGTTTGCAGATCGATGCCATCGAGCTCCCCATGGATCCTAAGTTGAACAAGAGACGTGGCTTTGTTTTCATCACCTTCAAAGAGGAGGAACCTGTGAAGAAGGTTCTGGAGAAGAAGTTTCATACCATCAGTGGGAGCAAGGTAAGGAACGGGGTTCCTACCAGGGGCTGTGCTGTGCTGTGACCCCAGGAAGAATAGAGACGCGGGATGTGGGGCGGGGTGGCTGGCTCTCACTTAGAGCAGCTGAAAGCAGCCTCTGGGTTTATTGCAAAGCCGCAGGCCAGAGTGGGGTCCCCTGTAGAGAAGGTTCTAGAAATGCCAACTGCTTTCTGGGAAGGCTGTGCTGGTGTGGGCAGGCTGGAGCGTTGTTCTCCATGGTGCAACTGAGACCGAGGGGTTGGCATTGCAGGTCCTGGGCATGTCCTAGGTAGGTGGCGTCTCAGGTCGTCTGTGGACCATGGGGCAGGACTCCTGGGCACCTGGATCTGGGGTGGCCGTGGAGCATGTGACCTGGCAGGGCGTAGCAGCCAGTGGGCGAGATCCTGGATGGGTCCAACAGCTGGGGTGGAATCTGGGGAGATGGGCAGAGCAGAGGGACTGGCAAGTGCGGAGCGAGGAGCCCCGGTCCTGCTCCGCTGCCTCTGACTCAGTGGCAGCGTGTGGGCTCATGCTTGTGTGGCGGGCTGGGGCTGGGGCACACCAAAGTCCTTGGGAGAGCGGCTCAGAAACCGGGTTGTGCTGTGTGGGTGCCCCGGTGGCAGAGACCTGACACTGCTGTCCCCTGCAGTGTGAGATCAAGGTGGCCCAGCCCAAGGAGGTGTACCAGCAGCAGCAGTACGGCTCTGGGGGCCGTGGAAGCCGCAACCGGGGGAACCGCGGCAGTGGCGGTGGTGGCGGCAGCGGAGGTGAGTGTAGCCCAGAGGCCGCAGCCGCCGGCCTGCCTGCATGGCGCTTCGGCCTGCCAGCACGCTCCTGGACAGTGGCGGAAGAGCCCGCTTCGTGTGGGATGGGGCGGTGGCGAGGGGGGGCGGCAGTGCCAGGCGCTTCTCCCGGCGCAGGCTCCTGACTCCAAAGCCTGCGCTCCGGCTGGGTGCCGCCCAGCTGTCAGGGAGGTGAGCAAGGGAGAGTGAAGCTAGCCAGGGGCCAGCGGCTCCCGCCGAGGTAGTGAGGGGTCTGTCCCAGGGCAGCTGCCACCGCAGTAGCCTCAAGCTCCCCGCCCCCCAGGGCAGGACTGCCTCGTCCCCGCTCCTGCATGTGCTAAACGGGCCCCGGGCCCCTGTGCCCTGCTCCCCCCACAGGTCAGAGTCAGAGTTGGAATCAGGGCTACGGCAGCTACTGGAACCAGGGCTACGGCTACCAGCAGGGCTACGGGCCGGGCTATGGCGGCTACGACTACTCGCCCTATGGCTATTACGGCTACGGCCCCGGCTACGACTACAGTAAGTAGGAGAGCGGGGCCCGCCAGGCAGGGCAGGGCAGGCAGCCAGCGGCCACTGAGCAGGGCTTTGGAGTCACTGGGCCCAGACGGACGCGGGAAGCGCCTGGCACGCGGCAGGCCTGTGGGCAGCTGCACTCACGCCGCTTCTCTTCCAGGTCAGGGGAGTGCCAACTACGGGAAGAGCCAGCGCCGCGGCGGCCACCAGAATAACTACAAGCCATACTGAGCCGCCGGGAGCTGGCCGCGGGCCGCGGGAGCACAATTATGTACCAGATGTAACGGCAACTCTGTGGCTGTCCTCTGTGCATCTTATTTAAAGTTTCCCCGGAAATCACTCTCCTGTCGCCTGTTTGCAGGGCTCTAGTTGTAGGCAGCGTGGGGGTCTCAGGCGGGGGCCAGCGACCCTGGCTGTGAAGCGTCAGCTGTACCTTAGAGACCAGTGTCACCTTTTTCACCATTTAATTTTGTATTATTTGTGTCATACATTTCCTGTAATGGAAGTGTTAATTTTACTGTACTTTTTGGTACCTTTTGGGAATCTAATGTATTGTAAGGTATTTTTCACGTGTCCTGATTTTGCCACGACCTGGATATTAAGGCTATCCAAGCTTTTGAAATAAAAGTGAAAAAACCCCCAAGCCTGGGTGACTCTGGGCTGTGGTGTGGATGGTGGGGGGCACCTCCCACCAGTCTCCAGCCCCCTCCATGGGTTGGCTGTGAGCCAGCCCCCAGGGGAGGCAAGGGCAGGGCCCACCCTGGCTCACCTCAGCTGGCAGGGCTGGTGCAGGGCCGCCGCAGCGTCTCACAGCTCCTCACCTTGGCCTCCATGTCTAGGAAGGAATCCCCACCGCAGCTGTCGGTGTGGGGTGGGGGTTCCCTGCTGGATACACTGGAGCCCCGTCCTGCAGACCTTCCCATCTGCCCCCTCCCGTGGGGATCCACGTGCCTGCACACACTGGCTGCCAGGAGCCGGGCCCTTACCTGTCAGGATGGTGTCCAGTGTGGCCACCACATGGCGGGCATTGTCCATGCTAAAGCACATGGGTGGCTTGAACTTGAGCACGTTCCTCCCGGGGCCATCGCTGCTCAGCAGGATGTGCTGCTCCCGCAGCCTGGGGTGCACACACAGCCCCCGGGGAGAGTGGGAGATCAAACCATGTGTGCCAGGGCTCCGCCCATATCGTGTGGGCTGGGAGCAGTTGGTGCCCATCTGGGCCTTGACCACCAGTTCTGGCACGCTGGTGGGTGTTGGGATACACAGGTGCTCCCCCCACTTATGCATGGAGGGTAGATAACCTACCTGGATACCAGGTGGGCAGCCTCCTCGGAGGCCGGCGTCCTTGTGGCCTCATCTTTGATCAGATCCACTCCCACGAAGAGCCCCACACCCCTGAAGGAGGAAGCCAGGCTCAGGAGGGCTGCCTGAAGATCCTTGGTGGGGGCAGGGCCCAGAGGGCAGCCAGGTACCTGACGTCCCCGATGATGGGGTGCTTGGCCTTTAGCTGGGCCAGGAGCTCCATGAGGAAGCTGCCCACACAGGCTGCGTGAGCCTGCAGCTGTTCCTTCTCCATTACGTCCAACACAGCCAGCCCCACGGCGCAGGACACGGGGCTGCCCCCGAACTGCAGGGCGAGTGGGGGGGGGGTGGTTAGTGGCGTCCTGCAGTGGCCCAGGTGTAGCCAAAGGCTGGGCTGTATGGTCACGCCCAAGAGCACAGTGTGGTTACTTGGACCAGGGGGTCCTGGCCTCACACATTGAGCCCCTCCTGCAGGCTCCGGAAGGAAGGCCACTGCTCTCGGTACTTCCTGCCTCTCCTGCATGCCCTCAAGCATGAGCCCAGACATGCTCTGTTGACTTCAGTCATTTTGGGCCATGCCTTGCAAGATCAGGGGTTCCTCCCCAACCCAGAGACTGCACTGGGCTCTGGACGCCACCTCCTGGCCTTGGGTGACAACTCGGAAAACGCACAGTTGGAGGGAGCAGGCCTGGGGCTGCTTCCCCTTTGGCAGAGGTGCCTCAGTTCCACAGAGAGGCTGGCCCCTCTCAGTGATCACTGCATAGTGAGCACAGCCCCTTGGCCTCCACAGATGGCTCAGATGCCCCTTGGATCCATTATAAAGGCTGGAGAGGTGGACTGGGTGGGAGCACAGCCTTTATTTCACAGCAGGGAACTTAAGTTGCAACTTGGAGCCTCTCCCTCAAATATTTGGGACCGACCCCCACCAACACTGTTGTGTGGTCCTCCAATTCCCTAACCTCCCCCCAAAACCCCAAAAAGTTTGGGTTAGTGTCCTATCTAATTCATCTTCCATGGAATTCTGGTCAGGGGTATCCTCTGGTGAGTAGGAAGTGCTCCTGCCCCGCTCCCCTCCTCCCGCCCCCTGAGCCATCCAGGGCTGGAGCACACCCCCATCACGGATCCCTGCACTGCGGCTCCCACCAAAACCAGTCCCAAAATTGTCTTTTTCTTCCTGATCCTCTCCAGCTCAGCCAGCTTAAGCTCCAGGCTCTTCCCTGGCTTCTTCCCAGGACATGGTGCTGGGACAGATGGGCCCTGCAGATGCCAGTGAGGCCATGCCAAGGAACTACCTGTACAACTCCTCAGGCCATGCGGAGGCCCCCACCCCACAGGCCTACTGGGCTACTGTGTGATGCCACTGGGCCACGCATGCCAGGGAACTTCCCACAGGATCCTTCCCACAGGCTCCACACACCCAACCACGAGGCCACGAAAGGGATTTCCCAAGTTGCTGCCTCCAGAACTTCAGTAATCTAGAGACAGTCCAGGGGAGAAGGTGCTTTGCTGAGCATGCGACTGATCAAGGGTGAATCCTGGGCATGAGCCCCAACAGAACTGGAGCATGCCTGAGCCATGCCAGTGGTTAGTCCAAATATCCCTTGCCCCGCTGCCAAACATCTAGGTGGGGGTTGCTGAGGATGTGTTGCCTGGAACTCAGGCTTTGCATGCAAGACCTGGATTTGACTCGGTATGGCATGGTCCGCCAGCACCAGTGGAGGACACGCATGGTGTCTCTCTATCTCTCTCTCTCTCTGACACACACGCATACACACACACAACATCCGGGGCAACACCCAGGGGCAGGTGCACTACCAGGCCGTTGCTCACCAGAGCCAGCGGGTCGGAATGTTGCTACCTGCCAACTCTTGTTGTCACGTGGTCAGAAAAAGGTTCACAAGGAGAGGGAGAGCTGGGGTCTGCAGGCACGCGGGAGGCCTGGGGTCTATCCGCACATCGCATGGGAACCAGAAGAAAGTGAACATTTGGGAGGAGAAAGATTTAGGAGGTGCACAGAGGCCAGCAGCATGCTGGAGGTAAGGCAGGATGTTCAAAGTATGTCCCGAGTTTCCCCAAACGGATCCCAACAACTACCCACACGATGGAGCAGTGCCTTAAGCTGCTGTAGAAAAACATCAGGGCCAGGGGTGAGGTGTACAGGCACAAATGTTCCAGCTCTAGTGGCTTCTCTGGACGTCACAGCTGTCCGCCACTCACTTCAGGCCGGAGCTGTGGGGGGCAGTTTGCTGGACTGGGGTCCCTGATGGTGCTGGGAATCCAACCTGGAGCTCTGCTCGTGATGCAGGCCAGGTATGTGCTCCACCTTTCGAGCCATCCCCAGCACACACACACACACACACACACACACACACACACACACACACACACACTTTAAAGTCATGGGAAAGGGACCAGCACTTGCCCTGCATGCAGCCAACATGGCTTTGATCCCCCCCTCATCCTCCCAGGAGTAATTCCTAAGTGCAGAGTCACAAGTAAGCCCTAAGCACAGACAGGTGAAACCTAAAAAGCAAAAAAATAAAAGTCCTGGAGAGCCGACACAAGACAGGGACAGAGATGGAATCACAACAGTGGAAACCTACAGGACACAGAAATCAGCATCTCCCTTGGCAGAAGAGAGTTCAACATGGAGAGTTCAACTTGCCTTACAGACATCCCAGAGGGTCCCTCAAGCACCACCAGGAGTAATTCCTGAGTGCAGAGCCAGGACTAAACCCTGAGTGGGGGAAGGCAACAGGGCAAAAGCTGGCTCTTGGAAAAGATGAGTCAAGCTGAACTTGAGCTAGACAAGAAGAAATACTCAAGGGTTGGGTAGATAGGGCAGGGCGTGAGGCATTTGCTTTGGGTATGGGTGGCCCCAGTTCCATCCCTTGCACTTCAGAGGGTGTCTTGAGCACTGCCAGGAGTTACCGCAATTCCCCCCACCAAATGAGTACTGATCTTTACAAGGAGTGGGGAGTCTGGGCCAGAGTGATGGAACAGTGGGGAGGGCACATGCCTTGCACATGGCTCACCCAGGTTCAATCCCCGGGACCCCACTGGGTCTCTGAGCCCCACCAGAAGTGATCCCTGGGCACAGAGACAGGAGTTGGCCCTGAGCTCTGCAAACTGTGGCCCAACCACAAAAATAACCAAAAATATTGGACACCATGTGGCCATATCCCAGGAAAATAAAGTTGGTGAGAATATGAAAATGAACACCATAAGCCATATTAATAGCATTAAGTATAAAGTAGAATCAGTCTCAGTAAATGAAAAACCATCTGATAGGACCATTCGCTTTAATGCCCCTCCCCCATCACATAAGTTCTCCCCAAAACCGCCAGGGGGCGTTACTGAGTACAGAGCCATGGGAGACTCTAGGAGCTGCTTGGTGTGGCCCAAACCTTGAATGTGGGAAGCCCTGGGTTCCCTTCACAGGGACTTCTGAGCACTGACTAGGAGCAGTGGCTAAGCACAGAGCTGGGGCAGTGCCAAGCACCACTGAATGTGGATCAAAAAGCAAAGAAGAAAAAAAAATACCAAGGTGGCAGCAAGATAATACAGCAGGTAGGGCGCTTGGCTGACATGTGGTTGGTAAGGTTTCCATCCCCAGCACTCCATAAGGTCCCCAGAGCCTGCCAGGAGCAATTCCTGAATGCACAGCTAGGCGTAACCCCTGAACACTGCCAGGTATGGCCCGAAAATAAAACAAAAAGCTCCCAGGGCAGCCTCACACGCACAGGGCTGCACACAGCAGTCTGGCTGCAAAGCAGCGAACGGGAACTGCAGAGACCCCTGAGCACCTGAGCCAGGGGTGATCCCGGAGCAACTGAGCCAGGGGTGATCCTGGAGCATGGGGAGGGCATGGATAGAGCATGAACAAAGGATGGACAGGGCACGAACAGAGCATGGATAAAGTGTGGATAGGATATGGACAGAGTCTGGCCAGAGCACGGAGCAGTAACAGGCTGGAACAGCACTGTGTGAGTGGATACAGTCAGAGCTCAGGAGTGGTGGGGGCCAGGCAGCTTGGGGCTGTCCATCTGCCCCAGTGCCTTTGTCCCTGAGGACATATGTGACCCCAGCACATGCCCGCATCCAACCGGGGTTAGGGGTCAGAGCCTCAGACGGTCTCAAAGGCCGATTCCCCTCAGAACATCACAGAAGCACCAGAAAGGGGTCACACTCCAGGCTGAGTGTGGGGGGCTCAGGTTCTGTTCCCACACTGCACTGTCCTCCAGCACACCAGGTGTGGACCCCCAAACACAGAACTCCCATCTTCCCATGAGCTTACACCCTCCCCTCAAGCCCTTGTGCCTCCCACCTTTTCAATGTCTGCTCTAGCCACTGAAGAGCCTTCTAGAATAATTTTCTTGCTCTCTTCTGTAACCTGGCTCCTTCCTGACTTGCGGACCCCCAGTCTTGTGCTGTGGGAGGCCCCAACCCTCCAAGCTCAAGGTTGTATTCAAAGCTCAGATCTCCAGGTCGGGGACTCTTCCTCAGCCCCCCACTTCCCTGCTGAATGCCCCTCCAGCTCCATGCCAGCACTGGGAGGAGGGGGGAGTGGGGGGGGAGGGGGGGCACTTTCTCCACTTTTGCTTTTGGGAGGACCACACCCAAGTCCCCGGCTCAGCTGGACGCTTTCTGCCCTTTACGCCTTTACGAGACCTGCTCAAGCCGATGGGAAAGGTGAGTACAACAGGACAAGGGTACGGCCACTTACCGTGTTAAAGTACTCAACGCCGGTGGCCTCGAACGCTCTGGCCACAGCCCGGGTGGTGGCAACACAGGCGACTGGGTGGCCATTGCCGATAGGCTTGCCCATGGTGACAATGTCTGGGATGAAGTCGTCCCCCTGCAGCTGGAAGGCCCAGAAGCGCTGACCCACGCGCCCAAAGCCCACCTGGATTTCGTCGGCGACAAAGAGGCCTCCGGCCTCGCGGACGTGCCTGCGGCCAAGGACACATGGTTGGGGGATGCAAGGTCCCGGGAGGCGAGGTGGGAGCTGGAGGCGCCCCCTACCCACTCACTTGGCCACTTCCTGAAAGTAGCCGGCCGGGGGCACGATCTGGCCGCCCACGCTGGGCAGCGACTCCGCGAAGAAGGCAGCGATCTGCGGGGAAAAGGTACTGGGCACCCGGCCTTGGGTCTCGGGTCAACCCGCCTCCTCTCCAGCCCGGCACTCCGAGCATGGACCCACGGACTTCCGTCTCCCACAGTCCCTCTCCCGTCCTGCCTCACCTTGGATTACAGTTAGGCCACCTCCAACCCCCCCTCCCCCCTTTGCAAGACCACGCAGGACACCTGCATTGTCTGGGGCCTGCACCCCCACCCCTGCCCAGGCCCCGCCCATACAGGCAGGCCGCGCCCACCCGACCCACCCACCCTATCATTGGCCCTGCCCATCACCAACAGGCTCCGCCCGCCCAACTCCACCCAGCCCGGCCCAGCCCCTCTGGCCACTGGCCCCCTGCAGTTCTGCCTCAGAGGTGCTGGGGGGCAGCTGCTGGAGTGCGGGGCGGGCAGCCAGTCCCCCAGCAGTCCTCCCAGTGGCCATCTGGGGGCTGGGTGGTGAGAGGAGGGTTGCGGGTACCTGCAATGGGTTCTGATTCTGCCCAGACGGCAGTGGGCCCGGGGCACCCCATCGCGCTTCTCTCCTCACTGCAGCCGCCAGCCCCCTCTGCCTGTGTGCGACCCTCTCTAGGGCATGGGCCTTGTTGGGAGTCACCCGGGTTGCAACACGGGGAACAGAACGCAAAGGTGCGTGGGGCGCGTCCTGCGTGTCCCTCGCTGGGAGAGACCGATCTCTCCCATGGCTGAGAGCAGGCGGCGACCCCGCCATCTAGTTTTGGGGGAGTTCTGCTCCCAGCTGTGCTCAGGGACCGGGCTCTCCCCGACTAGCTCCTGCACGGGCTTCCCGAACGCCCCTCCCCGCCTCACCCTTACCTTCCTGCCCCGCTCCTGCGCGCCGCGGATCACGCGCTGCACCTCGCCAGCGTAGGCCCCCGCGGGGTCAGGGTGGTCCTCTCGGAAAAGGCCCCGGTAGGTGTCGGGGAGAGGCGCCTGCGAGGAGGGCAGCGGCCGTCAAACGGACTGGGGGGCCCGAGCCCACCGTCCTGCCCTCAGATCCTACGTACCACGTGGACCCAGTCTTTCTGTCCATCCAGGTCCCGGAACTTGTAGGGGCTGATGTCAATCAGGGAGCTCAGGTGCCCGTGATAGGCGCTGCAGAGAGGGGAGGCGGGCTCAGGCGCAGGGGGCAGGGCTACCCGGTCCTCGTGGGTCCACCTGCCCATCTCCGGGACAGAACTCTGAGTTCGGATCTCTCCCCTCCAAAGACCTTATAAATCATCCTCATCTTCATCAGCATCCTCATCATCAGTGTTGCTGCTATATAATTTTCTGCAGTGCCGGGGATCAAACCCACGGCCTCATAGAGGCAAAACATGCTCCGCCCCTGGGCTACCTCTTTATTTCAAGATGATGATCACAACGACGACTATTTTAATTACTTTGGGGTTTTGGGCCACACCCGGTGGTGGTCAGGGCTCACTCCTGGAATGCTCAGGGGGCCTCAGGGTCAGCCGCGTGCCAGGCAAGCACCTTTCTGCTGTCCTGTCTCTCCGCTAGCACTTTCTTTGAACAGACCATTGGTCTTACAACCTAACACAGACTAGGGCCATGGGGATGCCCACTCCACTGATGTGCTATGAACTTCCATGTCACCACACAATTCCCTCTTGTACCTATTTTGCATTCAGAGAGAGAGAGAGAGAGAGAGAGAGAGAGAGAGAGAGAGTGTGTGTGTGTGTGTGTGTGTGTGGTCCTGGGATGGAGCCCAGGTGTCTAAGGCACCATCCCAGAGGTTCCCGGAGGCATTTTTTTTTTTTTTACTTTTTTGGGTCACACCTGGCAGCACAGGGGTTACTCCTGGCTCATGCACTCAGGAATTACTCCTGGCAGTGCTCGGGGTACCATATGGGATGCTGGGGATCGAACCCTGGGTTGGCCGAGTGCAAGGCAAACGCCCTACCTGCTGTGTTATCGCTCCAGCCCCAAGTTCCCGAAATTTTTTAATGCCTACAACTTTCTTTTTTACCAAATTTATTTATTTGCTTTTTGGGTCACACCTGGCGATGCACAGGAATTACTCCTGGCTCTGCACCCAAGAATAACTCCTGGAGGTGCTCGGGGGACCATCTGGGATGCCAGGGATCAAACCCAAGTTGGCCACGAGCATACCCTATCTGCTGTGCTATCACTCCAGGCCCTCAAATTAAAATTTTTAATTTATTTATTGGTTTTTGGGCCACACCTGTGATACTCTGATGTTACTCCAGACCCTACACTCAGGATTCACTCCTAGCAGGCTCAGGACCTGGGATACCGGGGATCAAACCCAGATATGCCAGGAACAAGGCAAGCACCCTACTGTGTACCACCTCTCCAACCCTAAACGCCAAAGCCTATGGCTGATTCATCCCACCCCCGAAGTGTGCTCCTTCCAGATGGGGGATAGTTCTCCCCCAACCTCTACTGGGTGCCACCCCATTCTCCCATGACTTGCCACTAGCCCATTCACCCTCCCCATGATTCCGGCCACACATCCCAACAGTCCTCCCAGACTCTGCCCACTAACCAGGCCCACCACACCCTCTCTAGCCCCGCACCCCCCTTAGGCACTTACTGGTCCAACACCACCACATCCCAGTGTCCTGTGTAGCAGCGTGCCAGACGCAAGGCCAAATCATTGGCCTCTGACCTGTGGGTGAGGGGGTCATCAGATGGGACAGTGCTCAGGGCTCACGCTTGTTGCAGGAGGATGGGGGTGGAGCGCCTGGTGGCAGTAGTCACATGATGCTCTTAGTGTGCACTCCCGGTCCAGACAGAAAATCCAGACAAGTCCCTTATTCCAGGGAACTGCTGATGTGTGCTAAGGACTCAGAAACTGAGCAGTGGGGTATGATTGGCCATGTCCCTGCCCCCTTCCCTTGCACTTGGAGCTTTAAAAAGTGTTTGTTTTTCTGATTTGGAACTTTTTTTTTTTGACTTTTTGGGTCACACCTGGTGATGCTCAGGATTACTCCTGGCAGTGACAGGGAACCATATGGAAAACCAAGGACTGAATCCAGGTTTGCTGCATTCAAGGCAAATGCCTTACCCGCTGTACTACTGCTCCAGCCCCAGAATTGGGGCTTAATTTTTTTAACTGTTTTTGTTTTAGGGTCACACCTAGTGATACTTAGGGCTTACTCCTGACTCTGCACTCAGAAATTCCTCCTGATGGTGCTTAAGAGACCATACAGGGTGCAGGAGAATCAAAGGTCCTACATGCTCTCTAATTGGAACTTTTGTTTATTTATTGCTTTTTGGGTTACACCCAGCGATGCTGGCGGTGCTCGGGGACCATATGGGATGCTGGGAATCAAACCCTATCCGCTGTGCTATCGCTCCAGTCCCTAACTGGGACCTTTAAAGGGCTGATTCAATGCACCCGTGAAAGGGTGTAAAGGCAGGAGCACATGCAAGCAGCCACCAATCTGATGGGGGGGCGGGTGGGGGGAGAGCACTACACAAGGTCCCCTGAGCAGAGGCAGGAGAGCTCACCCCGAGTTGAGGAAGTAGAAGACACAGAGCTGTTCGGGCAGCGTGTGGGACAAGCGCTGCGCATAGTCCACGATGCTGTCGTGCAGGTAGCGGCTGTTGGTGTTCAGCGCCTGGTTCTGCTCATGCGCTGCTCGGACCACCAGAGGGTGGCAGTGCCCCACTGAAAAGGCGGGGGGTGGTGGCGGTGTGTTCTAGTCACACAGCGGTGGGGGGTGGGGGGAAGAGGCTTCTGCCCCCCAAGCCTCCTACGCGCACGCGCAGGGAAGCGGGGGTGGCGGGGGGGGGGGGGAAGGCAGGGGAGAAAGGTCTGGCTGGCGGGGTGTGGCGAGTTTGTTGTAGGAAAGGGCCGGCCCAAGGGGAATGATAACAGCAAACAGGTATTTGCAAAAAATCTGCCAAGGTGGGGCTGGAGCGCAAAGCGGGTAGGGCGTTTGCCTTGCACGCGGCCGACCCGGGTTCGATTCCCAGCATCCCATATGGTCCCCGAACACCTCCAGGGGTAATTCCTGAGTGCATGAACCAGGAGTAACCCCTGTGCATCGCCGGGTGTGACTCAAAAAGCAAACAAAGCGGGTTCCTCCATTTAAGCCTCCAGTCCCCAACACGCATCAAGATTTCCCTCCGCAGCTGAGGGAAAGCCACACAGTCAGCTTCAAGGCGCGCTCCTGGCTCTGAGCTCGAACAATCTGGGCAGCGCTGGGGACTAAGCAGTGGGCTGGGCTGGCTGAGTGCGAGGCCCACCCACACCCCTGCGCTCTCCAGCATTCCACCCCCGCCCGTTTCCTGGGGGGTGGGGGCCACGTTGGGCAGCACAGCTGGTTGGCTCTTAGCTTCCAGCAGCTGGAGTGAATGCGAAAGGCGGGGCTTACTGACCGTGCGCGACATTGTTGATACAGTCCAGGTACTGGGCACCCTGATCGTCGTACATGTACTGCCCTTGGCCGCGGACCATCTTAATGGGATCCTCGGGGAAAAAGAGCCTGCAAGAGGCGCTGGGAGACAGGCGCGCGGGGGGACATCAGCCGCGTCTGCAGACCTGGGGAGCAGCCCCCCACAGGCTCCCCGATTCCCGGGGAGGTGGCACGGGCAGCTACAGTCCTTCACCCCCTGGGCTGGAAGTGCCCACTTGGCGCCTGCCGACGTGTCCACGCTCGTTCCTGCTAGCCCCATTTTGGAGGCTCCACCGAGAATCCACCAAGAGGCGGTGGCTCCGTCCAAGGGGCGGTGTGACTGACAAGCGCTTTCCTGCCGGGGCAACCCAGGGCAGGTCCAAGTCCAGGTCCAGCGGGCGGACCGCGCGGGCGCGCTCCTGTCAGGCGCCGGGAGAGGCCGCGGGCGGAGCGGGGAGCGCCTCCCGGAGGGGCGCGGGGGGACCGGGGCACCGAGACCTGGGGAGCCCCGGCGCCGGGCTCCAGGTCTGACGTCAGCGCGTCGCGGGCGCGTGGTCGTGCGTGCACTGCCCCCTGCGCGCGGCCCCACCCCCACCCCTCCCAGTGGCCCGCGCGGTCTACCTGAGCAGCTGCCGCCGCAGGGCCAGCGTTTCAGCCTTCCCGCGCCGCTCGGCCGCCATCGTGTCCGGCGGTCGCTCGAGGACTCGGCGCGGACTGGCCGCCCGGGCCCCGCCCCACGACAACCCCGCCCGCAGACCCGCCCCCGCCCCACCCACAATCCTAACCCCGCCCCCAGGCCGCTCTCAGGCCCCGCCCCCGAACTCAGCCACACTCCGAATCCGCTCTCAGGCCCCGCCTCCGAGCCCAGCCACACCCCAAAGCCGCTCTCAGGCCCCGCCCCTGAACCATCTCGCTCGAGGTCTCGCCCATTAGGGGCCCTGCCCACAGTCGTCTAAGGTTCCGCCCACCCGCGCGTTGACCACCGCCTGCGGCCTCTGCCCAGGCGCCATCCAGTAGTCACGAAGTCCTCGGGATCCGTTTCACCGTTGTCTCTATAATCATGCACTCATTTTTTAGTTTTGAGCCACACCCGGCAATGTTCAAGGGTTACTCGTGGCTCTGCTCTCAGGAATACTGGCGGTGTTCCCCGCATCATACCGCTCGTGTGCAAGGCTACCCGCGGCCCTATCCGTCTAGTCCCATGCACGCAATCTTTCGTTCATACATTCACTTGTTCAACCATTCACCCACCCATCCATCCATCCACAGTTCAGTCTGGCAGGATTTTTTTTGGTGGGGGACCCACACCTGGCGGTGCTTAGGGGATATTTTTGACACTGCCTTCAGGAATCATTCTCCGCTGTGCTTGAGGGGCCATGTGGGATCCTGAGGATCAAATTCAGATCTGTAAGGCAAGAGCTCTACCTGCCGACCTGTCTCCAGGCCCCCAGTCTGGCAGGACTGTCAGTCACTGAACTCTCAGGCAGCTGAGGGCTACCCCTTCTGGTCCTGAAGCTGCTTCCATGCATGCTGGGAATTCTTTGCTGTCCTGGGCCGTTTCTGAGTCACCTCGCCAACCAGAATAAAATGAGGCCTTCCTTGATGTGCGCCGGAATGGGGGAGATTGTGTGACTGGCATCCAGTTTAGGGCACAAAAGGTGTTTCAGGAGACCTAGCACTGGAACAGGAGTGGGGCTGCATCCTACTTGGGGGAGCCACATCTGGCGATGGTCAGGGGTTATTCCTGGCTCTGCTCTCAGGAATCACTCCTAGAAGTGCTCAGGGGAACATGGGCTGCTGGGAATCAAACTCAGGTTGGGCTTGTGCCAGACAAGCACCCTCCCTGCTGTACCATGGCCCAGGTCCCAAGGGCAGGGGCAATTGAGTGTGAAGAAGTTTCCCTTCAGTCATTTGCATAAAGATGTTGCAAGGACAATGTATCATATGTAAGCTGAACCTTTATGCCTCAATGTTAGGTTTTCCCTGGGCTGCCCTTCTAAAAATGTGCTCCCTTCCTGTGCTTTTCCTATAAAGCCTGCTTCTGGAACTGGGGAGGCGGCATAGACGGGCTGGAGCACCAGCCCCCTCTCCCTACTCTTGAGATGTCCCTAAGGCCTCCAAAGTGTTGGGCATTTCCTAGGTAAGGTAAAGGTAAAGGCCCTCCCGTTGTTCATCGATTTGCTTGAGCGGGCCCAGTAACGTCTCCATTGGAGATTTTGTTGTTACTGTGTTTGGCATATCGAATACATCACGGGTGGCTTGCCAGGCTCTGCAGTATGGGCGAGATACTCTCGGTAACTTGCCGGGCTCTCCGAGAGGGGCAGAGGAATCGAACTCGGGTCGGCCATGTTGGCAGCGTGCAAGGCAAACGCCCTACTGCTGTGTTATCACTCCAGCCCGTTTCCTAGTCCAATCATATCTGGAATGGGTGTGCATAAGCTTTCTGAAGCCTCAGCCCTTCTCTCCATCTCCCACTCCTGAAAATGCAGGACCTTCTAGGGTGAGGAAAAGCTCACACAGACGAGCCTGAGGCTGGAGCAATGACCCCCAACCTGCCCCCCTGGGTGCTATTCCCCCATCTAAGAAAAGCCAAGCCAGCTCCTTCCCACCTCTGGTCCCTTCTGCTCCCGTGATCTTCTCCAACCTTGGCACTGCCTGCAGTATCCCAAGGGTGTCCACAAAGAGCTGCGAACCCCCCCCCCCCAACACACACACATTCCATGTGCCTCCTAAGGATAAGATGACAGAGGCAGATGGGTCTATGGCCTCAGAGCCATCTGCTGCCGGTCTGGAAACACCGTGACCCTTCCCTGGCAATTTGTGGTAGAGGTTCTTCTCCTGGATGGGGAATTTGACGTACAGTTCAGCTGATCAGGAAGCTGGGAAGGGCCCCTCAATCCCTGACACTCCCCAAGTCTCCTATGGTTCCACGGTCTCCTGTGGTCTGGCCCCACCCCAAAATCCAGCAAATCATTCCTGGCTCTGTGCTCAGGGATCATTCCTGGTTGTGCTCAACCCTGTATCGTGCTGGGGATCGAATCAGGGTTGGCCACATGCATGGTTAAGCAGCCTCATCTCTATACTATCTACCTCTGGCCCTAGTTTTGTTTTTTTGGGAGGAGCCCAGGAATTGCTCCTGGTTCTGTGCTCAGGGCTGACTTCTGGCGGGGCTCAGGGCTCCTATGTGGTGCTGGGGATGGGGCACCACTTCCCTCATTTCCCGTGACTCTGAGTTCTCAACTTGCAAGAGACACCCCCAGGTCACTGATAGCGCGGGGGAGCTGTTAGTTGTGTGCGTGCACTGCTGAACTCTGTCACATGCCATGGCACGGGTGACCTGCCCAGGGCACAGGCGATACACGCAGTGGTTTATTATACACAACTGACTCTGTCTACACCAAGGGGCAAGGCTAGAACCCTTGTCCTGAGACAGGGCGTATCTAACCCGAGGTCCCAGGCTCAGGGGACTTGGCAGAGCCCCACGCTCCTCCTATACTTGGCCCAGACCCAGAACCCTGGGGCTGTGGGATCTGATGAAGCTGACGCTTGGAGGGAATCCTGCGAGCCCCCTCGTATTCCTGAGGCTGGCACAGACAGGTGGAGCAGGTCTGGTGAGGCACCCCTTTCGTCCTGTGGGGGGTTCCTGCCATGGGCCCCCGGGCTACAGCTCCAAGCATCAGCACGGTTGTCCTGTGTGCAGCTGTGGGTTGGAGGTGGGGGGGGGAGGGCGGGGAGGGGGTCATGGGGTGGCAGCTGGCTCTGGCTGAGTTCTGCTAGATGTGGGGGGGAGGCTCTGGGCTAGGGTTCTAGGAGGGGAAGGGTCTTGCAGGCCAGGTCGCCTTCTGCAGATGCCCCTTGCTTGCTAGTTGGGGTCTCAGTTCTCAGCGGCAAAAGTCCTCAATATATTACTGTTTCTTTCCTTCCTCACACAGAAGGGGTCTGCATGGTTCAATCTCAGGGCCACTTGGCAGGGTGCTGGGGGGTCACTGTGGGAGGGAAGGAAAAGGAAGCAATGAAGGAGGGGTCCTGAAGAACATCAGCCTCTCCTCCATCACCCACCTCCTCCTTCTGAGTTGGTTCCCTCGCAGTGCATGTGCCCCCCACAGTTTCCCCCTCCAGCTCTCCTGTCGCACCCCAAGACTGCTGTGACCCCGTACCTTGTGCCAGCATCCGGGCACCGGCAGCCCATCGGGGCCCTGGAAGAAAGGGGGGTGCGTGAGGGGGCACAGATACCCGGAGCACTGATATAGCTGCAGCTTTTCTGAGGCAGGAGTACCCCAGAAGAGGCCAGACACCCACCCTGGGGTCTCAGGAAGCCTGGGGGAGGGGCCTGAGCACTTTCAGTAACGTTGCCCCAAGTAAGGGGGAGGCAGGAAGTGGAACTCCCAGGGCTGGAGTAATAGCGCAGCGGGAAGGGCGTTTGCCTTGCACCTGGCCAACCCGAGTTCGATTCCCAGCATCCCATATGGTCCCCCGAGCACCGCCAGGAGTAATTCCTGAGTGCAGAGCCAGGAGTGACGACAATGCATTGCCGGGTGTGACCCAAAAAGCGAAAAAAGAAAGTGGAACTCCCCTGGTTCTGGGCTCACCTTGAACTCTGTGCCCTGCGACTCAGGGGAGACAGGGTGGGCTACTGCTATCAGGACCAACTTGGGTGTCTGGGGTCCCAGGATCCCAGCTTAGCAGTGAGAGCTGGCCAGGGCTTGGATAAAGGGATGAAAGGGGCAGCAGCCTCGAGGCCCCTGCATCACCGTCCTGAGACCCGCGTTCAGGCTCCTCGGGCACCCACGATCCCCAGGACAACGTCTCTACCTTCACGGGCATGGCAGGTAGAGGCGGGAAGAGCAGTGAAGGGGTGTAGCGGCAGGAGGGGGCCGGGCGTGTGGGGTGGGGCGGGGCGTGCAGGGGGCGTGGCTGCAGGATGGATAGGGCTGAAGGGGCGCGACTGAAGGTGGGCGGGTGTGCAGGGGGCGGGACTTCAGCGTGGGCGGAGGTGTGTGCAGGGGGCGGGCACAGGAGGGTCAGATGGAGGAGGTGACATGCAGAGCTGGGTGGGCGTGCAGGGGGCGTGGCTTACCGGAGGGGCGGGGCTTGCTGAAGGGGGGGGTGTGCAAGAGGTGAGGCAGGGAGCGCGGGGCGGGACACACAGGGGACCCAACAGGCAGGACAGACTGGGGTGTGCAGGACCAGCAGGACTGACTGGGGTGTCAGGCCTGGGGGGAGGGTAGGCGGGAGGGGTTAGATGCGCATGGGGGGCTGGGGGGAAGGAGCCCCTCCAGCCCGCGGGGTCTCCTGTTTCAAGACAAGGACTTCGTGATTTGAGAGAAGCCCCCGTGCATGTGAGGCAGCTCTGTGTTTTCTCCAGGGGTCCCAGGATGGGGGGAGGGGGGAATGAAGGCAGAGATAGGCTGGGACGGGTGGGGGCATCCCCAGGCCAGAAGCCCTTTGCTTCCCATTCCAGAAGTGAGAGGAGGACGTGGGGAGGGTCCTTGCAAACAGCCTGGGCTCTGTCTGGTGCCTGATCTACAGGAGGGGCCTCCCCAAGGCTCACACGTACCACAGGGCAGGGCTGGTCCAGGCCGGGTGGCCCCGGCTCCCCTTTCTGACCTTTGACCCCCTTCCTCCCGGGGACTCCTCGTTCACCCTGCAAGAGGCGAGACTGGGGGTCAAGTCGTGGCCACCCAGCCCAGGTCCCCATGCTCCCCTCGGCGGCCCAGGCCCACCTTCTCTCCCCGGTCGCTTTGTTCTCCCTTCTCGCCACGGGGTCCGGGGAAACCCTGTAAGGATGGGAGAGGGGACACCATCAGGGGACAGGGCAGGGCAAACCCTCATAAAGGGTTCAGCTGGGGCTCCCTGGAGGGACACCCACGCTCAGGTGTGGAGTCTGAAAGTGGCGAGCTCCGGTGTCTATGTGGGGCTCAGTCCTCCCCACACAACACTGTCCTCCAACCTGTCCTCTACCTCAGGTCTAAGAATCCAGTGAGACCTGGTCATCTATCCATCCCCCTCATCTATTCATCTACTGCTCACCCAATATCCATCCATCATCTATCCTTCACCACTCCCTCATCCACCTACTGTCTGTGCATCCCTCCCTCCACCCATCCACCCATCCCCGCACCATCCCATCCATCCCTTCCTCCATCCATCATTTGTTCACCATCCACCCACCACCCACACATCCATCCATCCACCCATCTATCCATCCACCATCTAGCACTACTGTCCATCCATTCTCTTGACCACACATAAAACCATCATCCACTACCCACCCACCCACCCACCCATTCATCCATCCCCTCACTCATTCACCAACTATTCATACATCACTTTTTCATCCATCATCCATTCAATTGACCATCCATCCATCCATCTACCATCTATTCATCTTCATTCACCCATCCATCCATGCACCCACCCAAACATACATACATACATACATACACAGAGCCATCCACAAACCCATCCATCCATCCATCCATCCATCCATCCATCCACAAACCCATCCATCTGTCCACCCACCCATCCATCCACAAATCCATCTATCCATCCACCCACCCATTCGTCCAACTTCATGCACACACTCATCCATCCACCCACTCACATACTCCCACCCACTCAAACACCCATCCATAATTCCACCCTCACACACCCCCATCCATCCACCCATCCTCACATACACCCATCCATCCATCCACACACACACACACACACACACACACACATCCATCTAACCACCCCATACCCCATCCATCCAAGCATCTACCATCTATTCATCTGTCCACCCACACCCCTGTCCATCCATCCATCACCTATCTATCACTTATCTGTCCACCATCGATCCACTGATTGACCCATCCCAGCCATCCCTCCATCCTCCATCATTCCCCCATCCCACCGCTCTCCCTCACCCCTCCACCACCACTTCTGGGCTGTGAACTGAACTTGGCACTGGGGACACCTGGGACACCGACCCATTCCATGCCAGCCTCCCCCAAAGAGCCCAGGCCACAATTCAGCCAGGACCAGTGGGCGGGATTCACTCACATCCAGCCCTGGCTCCCCGGCTCTGCCCTGCAGAGAGAAAGACGGGGACAGGGTGAGAGGGGGCTGGGGGGCTTCAACCCAAGTCACCCACATGGCAGTCCCACGCTGGCTCCAGAGCCTGCTGAGCCTCAGGGCGGAAGGCGGGTAGGGTGCGGGCTGGGGGTGTGGGAGGGGCCCACCTTCTCTCCTTTGGTTCCTGGCAGCCCGATGAGGCCTGGTGGACCCGCTGGCCCCTGCGGGGGAAGGGGGATCAGAGGTGCCCCACTGTGGCAACAGGGATAGACAGACAGAGCTTAGTACTCACGGGCGGCCCGCTGGGACCCCTGTCCCCTGATGCACCCTTCTCTCCTTTGGCTCCATCAAGGCCCTGAGAAGGGAGGAAGTGTGTCAGCTGAGGACACTGAGAAGCAGGACGGGGAGGGAGGGTCTGGGCTCTGGGGCAGTGGGGGGCGGGATTACACTTGGTGGTGCTGGGATAGAGCCTGGGCCTGGTACACAGGCTGGAGTCGACTTTCCCCTTCACCTCACAGCCCCCCAGGGGTCATGGAGGAGTCTGTGGTCTCCCTACTACATGCCATAGGAGGACCCCACCCCCTCCAGGGCCGGGAGGGGTCTGGGGGGGTATGAAGGAGCTTCTGGGCCTCGTGCCTGCCAGGATCTGACTCAGAGGTAACACAGGGGTCCAGGCTGGGGAAGGGAGGGTAGGGGAGCACCTGGCTCCCAGCTGCATGACCCTCAGTACCCCAGGGGGCTTGTCAGGCAGCCCATCCCCCTGTCTGAGCCCAGCAAGATGCAGGGCTGCTGGGGCGGTGGAAGGGGTGATGGTGATTTCACTTTGTTCCTTGACAAGGCTTTCTAGAACATTTCAGAACATTTGATTAGTGTTTTTTCTGTTTTAGGGTTTTTGGTTTTGGGGGGGGTTACCTGGCGGTGCTCAAGGGACCATATGGGGTGTTAGGGATTGAACCTGGGTCAGCCGCATGCAAGGCAATACCCTCCCCACTGTACCTGAGGCTCCAGCCCCTCCAGAACATTTGAAAGATGAATTGAGGGCAGGTAAGGAACTGACCACCGTACCCCAGAACTCACCTTGGGACCTGGAACTCCCTGTAGGCCCTGGAGGGGAGGCAGTAAAATTTAATCTGGGGTGCTGGGTCCCTTCCCTGCCTGACACCCCTCCCGTTCCATCATCCTGCTCTTACCACAGGGCCCGGGGGACCTGGGGGCCCGGGGGGGCCCGGCTCCATGATGACCTGGGCCTGAGGAGGTGAGCAGAGATGGTTGGCAGCTGCTGGTCCCCTGGGATGCCCTCACACCCAGCAGCACCTTGCACAGGCCCCAGGCTCTTCTGGGGGCCCCATCAGGAACCCCCTGGCCCCAGCACCCCCTTACCAAGCTCTCTGCGGCCGCCGCTGGCTCTCCTTTCTGCCCCTTGAGCCCAGCAGGCCCCTGCAACACAGGACAGACCCAAGCTATTCTCCCAGGGCCCTTTGGGGTCTGGGCTCCCCTTCCACAGCCGCGGCAGCAGCTCTGTGGCGCTCAGGCTGGCAGGGGAGGGAGGGAGCTGCCCCGCATGGGCCGATCTTGGGCTCCTTGTTGGCACCACAGGGACCCCGCACCCTGGGAGTTATAACCCTCTCCTCTAGCACCTCCAGAAGGTGCTGAGCTGCAGGTGAGTCACTCCTGGGGATCCCAGATGCCCTGAACTCTAGCACCCCATCTGGTCTTGGGAAGGCGGATGGCTTCTGGGTATGGGGCAAGCCAGGCAGCCGTGGGGACCCAGGGTGCGGGGGGTGGGGCGATCATCACCTCATCTTAGGGCTGTGGAACCAAGGCTGCTTGCTGGTAGCCTGGAGGGCAGACCTGGGGGCTAGCAGCTGAGAATTTCCTACAAGGGCCCGACACCCTGGGCTAGGCTTAGCCTGGGTCCCCCACCCCAGGACACCCAGCAAGCACATACCGGGAGGCCTGGCAGCCCCATCTCTCCCGCGTCCCCTTTGGGCCCTGCTGGCGCCGTCTCTCCAGGGTCTCCTTTAGCGCCTTTGGGGCCCTAAGAGCCAAGGGGCAGAGGTCAGTGTGGGGGTGGGGGCTTCTGTCCAGCCCTGGCCCCCGCTTCTCGGAAGTTGAGAGGAGAATGTGCCAAGGGCAGGAAGAGTCAAGTCATCCCTGGATCTAACTGCAGAAGACCCTGCTGCAGAGCGCCCAGCTCATGCCCACCCTCGCCCCTGCCCGTCAGAACCCCCAGCACTGCCCAGGCCTCTCCCAGGAGGTGAGACCCTTGGCGGAGCCATGGCCACTGCCTGGCGTGTGTGCTGGGCTGCCCCCAGCTCTGTCCACCCTCCCCCACACACCCTTGTCAGCATGCATGGAGACACACAAGCACACACATCACCTGCACATATATGCATACACACTCAGCATGCATGTATACACACAACAAATACACATACAGCACACATTGGCATAGACATGCATGATACAGGAACACCCCACACAGCACACATACATCAACACACACATGAACACAAACACACACACCACATGCCACAGCCCCACACAGCCCAGCATCACCCCAGAGTCGAGGCCCAGAGACCTTCTCCCCGTCAGCTCCCGGGGCTCCGGGTAGCCCAAGTTCGCCCTAGAAGGGAGCAGAAAGCAGAGGGTTAACCAGGCCCGGCTCCCACCCCCTGCCAAGAATGAGCCAGCAGCCCCCCTTCCATAGCCTCATCTCTACTTTGGTTTTGTTTTGGGTCCCACACTCAGCAGTGCAGCATCTGACTCCTGGCTCTGTGCTCAGGGTCACTCCTAGGGGTGTTTAGGGCTCACTCCTGGCTGTGCTGCCAGAGCTTGGTGGGCCCTATGCTGTGGAGGGGACAGACCCTGGGAAGAGGCTCCGTAGATAAAAACCAGCCCCCCCCCCCGCCCCGCACCCCTGCTGTCTCATTGCTCACCTTGGGCCCGGGGTGTCCTGGTGGCCCCGGGGGCCCCTGTGGTCCAGGAAGTCCCTGTGGGTGAGTATCAGACCAGTTGGTGTCCAGGCAGAGGATGCCCCAACCCCGCACCCCTGCCCTCCACCCTGCACCCCTGCCCTCTCTGGGGACCCAGTCAAGCCCACACTTCCATGGGAGAGAATCCACCTGCCTCTGCTCCGGGGCGGATCAAAGGGCGCGCTGAAGCATCAGGAGACCGGGTCTCCGAGATTCCAAGCCCGAGCCTCAGCATGTCGAGAGCTGTCTGCCCAGACCCAGAAGTTGGCAGCGGTTGTGTTTGTTTCCCCTTAGTGTGTCACATACTGCCATGCTGTACCACATATGCCACACCCCACGCCCTTACTACACCCCCTGGGCCCAGGCCCCGTTACCGTCTGCTTGTAATTTCTAAGCCTGCGGGAGGTAGCTGGAGCTGAGTCTCCAATGGGGTCCTGGGGAGCCCCCAACCTGCCTCTGGTGACACCCACCGTCCTTCCTGGGAGTCCAGGAGCCCCAGGCCAGCATCTCCCCCAGCTGCTCCCAGGCTGCCGGGCACCGTGCCAGCTCAGCGGCCGTTCCCTCCCGATGCCCTGGGGAGCCGCCGTGTTTCCGTATTCTCCAGAGTTCATTAGCAGACTGAGCACCCCAGGCTGGGTCCCGTGGGAGAGTTACTCTCAAGGGAGGACTCCCCCCCTCTTTTTTATTTTTGGGTCACACCCAGTGATGCTCAAGAATTACTCCTGGCAGTGACAGTGAAGGGGCTGGTGGGGGGAGACAGACAGATCTTCCCTTTCTGGCCTCAACAGCCACCAGCTGCACCCCCTCCTCGCCCCGCTCCCAGCATGGGGTCCTCGCTAGTCTGTGCTAAAGGAATCCCACCTCGGGAACACACAGAGTAGAGAGGATGGGGCTGTCCCTCCCCTATCCCCAGGGTGGGGGAAACAGGACAAACAGGGGCTCTGGGTACCCTCAGTGCGTCCAGGATCCTGCCGTCGTAGTCGATCACCACCGTGTCCCCCTGCTCGCCCTTCAGGCCTGGGAAGCCCTGCAGGACAGGGCGGAGAGAAGAGTTTGAGGAAGGGGATCCCACCAAATCTGGGCGCAACAAGGCCGGATCCCAGAGTTCTCCAGGGAACGGGGGGAAATTTGGGACTGATAAACTCCCCTTTGGATTTTTTTTTTTTTTTGCTTTTTGGGTCACACCTGGCAATGCATAAGGGTTACTCTTGGCTCTGCACTCAGGAATCACCCCGGCAGTGCTCAGGGGACCATATGGGATGCTGGAAATTGAACCTGGGTCGGCCGCGTGCAAGGCAAACGCCCTACCCGCTGTGCTATTGCTCCAGCCCCTGGATTTTTTTTTTTTTTTTGAGAGGGCCACAACAAATGTTGCTCAGGGGTTATTCCTGGCTCTGCACTCGGGAATCACTCCTGGCAGTGCTTGGGGGGGGGGGGCATATGGGATGCTGGGGATCGAACCCTGTCAGATGGGTATGCGAGGCACATGTCCTACCCGCTGTGCTGCATTGTTCTGGCCCCTCCTGTTTGGATTTCCTTGTTCTATTTTGGGAGAGAAACCCAGAAGTCCTCAGGGTTGACTCACGGTTCTGGAATCTGAACCGTGTTCAGCACTGACTCCTGGCTCTGTGCTGATGGGTCACTCCTGGTGGGGTTCTGGGCATGGAACAAGGGTCAGCCTTATGCAAGCAAGTGTCCTCCCCACTGTCCTCTCTCTCCAGCCCAGGGGCCTCTTAAGTACTACCCATTGGCTTAGAGCACAGCAGCAGCAATGCACACATCAGGGGGTGAGAAAACAGACTCTGTGACTCCAGTTCCGGTGCTTGGGCCCTCCACGGGGGGTGTAGCTCAAGAGCTTCCGGATTGACTTGAGCTTCACTGGGGCAGGGCCTGAACGTGGCTGAATTGGCTGAATTCCACTGGGGTGGGCCATTGCCCCTTGGGGCTTGCGGGGGATGGGGCCCCTCGGCATGTCACAGGCCTGGTCGAGCTGATGGGGATCCTTCCTTACCCGTGATCCCACGGCTCCGTCGGCCCCTCGCTGGCCCGGCTCGCCCTGTGGAGAGGGAGGCTGCAGCCCGGAGCCTGGTCTGACGGACCCTGCCCCAGCAGGGCGGTGGGCCCGAACACGTGGACCCAGGCCCTGGGCCCTGAGCACTATCTTTCCCCAGGGGAGCTGGTCTGCAGGGGCGGGGGCGGGGGTGGGGGTGGGGGCAGCACACGAGAATGTCACCTCTGACCCTGGGTGCCTTTTCTGCCAAGGGCCCCCCAGCTGTCCCACTGCCCCTGGGAAGATACTGTCCAATAAACCCCGCAGCTGAGCTGGCTTCCAGAACACTCTTGGGTGAGGGGGTCGTGGGCACCAGAACACTGATGGGGGACAGCTGAGATGGGGGCCTGGGTTGGGGCCTTCTGAGTTGGGGTCGGGACCTGGCCCCAAGAAGTCTCAGCCCTCTGGGGCATGAGGGGTCTGACTCTCTGCCCAGCTCTGGGTGGGGGGTACGGGGGGCCCTGGGCCAAGGACAGGTACCTACCTTGGGCCCTGGGGGTCCAGGAGGCCCAGGCTGGCTCGGGGACCCGTCATCTCCCTGGGGAGACAATAGCAGGATCAAAGCTTGGGGATAGGCCTCCCCCGGGCAAGGAACTTTCTGGAACACAGGGCTCACTCCTGCTACCTGCCCTGATCACACAAGGTCAGACGTGGGGAGGAACAGAGACAGGGCTCTGCTCTGAGGGTCTGTGGGGACCCCAGCACATGCTTGTCCGAGAGGCCCCCCTTGGTGCTGCGGTTGCTGCCAGCCTGGCGGGAAGACCACACTGAGAGATGCACTGACCAGATGTGAGGGAAGGCGGGAAGTGAGTGGGTGAACAAATGAATGGCTTTGCTGGGGAAGCAAGGAAGGTCAGAGAATGCACAAACAAATGAGCAAATGACATAACGGAATGGCGGTGAATGAGTAAAGATGAACAAGTGAATGAGTGAGTTGAGTGCACTGAGGAAGGACGAGCAAATGATGAGATGAATGAATGATGAGGGGAGTGGATGATGAGAGGTGAATGAACAAGGAGTCGGATGGAGTGAGGAAAAGTGAATGAGGCTGATGCAGAATGACAACATGAATGACGGATGAGGGAGATGCGTGGAGGGAAGAAGAAGGAACGAGGAGAGATGAATGAGTGACAATGTGGAGGATGATGAGTGACGCGATAGATGATGAGGTGAATGACTGATGGAGATAAGTGATAACTGATGAGCTGGATGGTTTGATGAGATGAAGGATGAGTGAGGAGTGAATGAATGATGAGTGATGAGCGGTGAGTGAATGAGGGGAATGACGAATAGAGACGAATGAATGAGGAAAGGAATAAGTGAGGAGAGAGCAAGAAATGATGTCACGATTAACGATGAGAGGAATGAATGACATTCTTTACTTTTTCCTCATTCATCTGAGATGAATGAATGACAAGGAATATGAATGATTAAAAGACGATGAGCTGGACAGAGTGACGAGATGAACGAATGATGAGGTGAGTGGGTGAAAGTGATGAGTGATGAGTGGGTGATGAAGGAGTGAGGAGAGGAATGAACAAGGAGAGGGGAGGGAAGTGGACGATGAGTGACAAGATGAATGATGAGCTGGACGAATGTTGAAACCGAGGATCAGAGGTGAGGAACTGAATGAGCAGAAGGAAGACAAACCATGAGCGATGTATGGATGAGTGAGCAGAGAAGAATGAACAAACGAGTGGGCTCCTGGCGTCAGAGCTTCTGAGAGGGAGAAGGTCCCCCCCAAGTGTGACCTGGCCCAACCTTCTCTCTAATCCCCCCTACATGCAGCACCAGAAGCCCTCAGTCACCTTTTTCCCGAGACACTGGGCTCACCCTAAGGGAGGCAGTGGGGGTGCAGAGGAGACCAAACCAGCAGTGGGACCCCAAGATATTGGGCGACTTGCTCCCCGATATCTGCCCGGCCTCCCCACCCTGTTCCCCCACTCCTGACACTGGGGTGACACATTTTTTGTGTCTCCACTGAACAGAGCCGTGTGCCCCCGCGTCAGTGGGAGGAAGCACTCACCCTGGGCCCCGGGGGTCCTACTGGGCCCTGGAACAAGAGGAGGAAAGAGTTAGAAGTTCTGGGGGCCGGAACTGACTCCAGAGTTTATAGCTGGGGCTGACTATGGCGCCATCAGTTTCACCTTGCCTCTGGGGCCCTAAGGGGCAGAGGTGTGAGCAGGGTCAGTTGGACACCTGGCCCCCTCCTGCCCGAGAGCCTCCTAAGGCTTCTGCAGCAACTGCAGGAGCAAGAGGTGGTCCTGGACAGAGGGCAGAAATGGATCCCTGGGCTGAGGGGAGAAAGGACAGGGTGGACAGTGGTGTCTGGGTCTGGGGCTGCGTGGGGTAGAGCAGGAAAGGCCAGAAAGGGAGGGAGGAGCGGAGAGAGGGCAGGCAGAGAGAGGCGAAGAGAAAGGAAGGGGGAGGGAGGGATGGTGGGAGGGCGTGGGGAGTATCAGGATCTGGGGGGGGGCTGGCCTGTCCTGCATGCCCAGCAGTGGCTCTGGCATCTCGAGCCACTAAGGGCTCAGGGTCTGGACTGGCCCTGGGGGCTGGATGGGGTTTACTTGGGACCCTGGTCTGGGTCAGTCCAGGATGGGGTCCTGGGGATCCCACTCTCCCTCTCTTACCGTAGGGCCCTGTGCCCCCCGGGGTCCATCCTTCCCAGTGTCTCCAGGTGGACCCTGTACCCCGGGAGGGCCAGGGGGTCCTGGAGGCCCAGCAGCTCCATCATGCCCCTGGTCTCCCTGCAAGAGATGGGGCCTGGGTTGAAGTTACCCTGCAAACATAGTCCGAGTCCCTAAGGATTCCCCTCTGAGCAACTGGGGAGCCGCTCATCCCAGGAGGGCTGGCTGGAAGAGGAAGCCAGTGTTCTGGGCTCAGGAGCTATAGAACTTTCTTCAAAGGCCTGGACTCCTAATAGGGGGCATGGGGATGGTGCCAGGGTAGCAGAGGAAGGGAACAGGGGCAGGGTGATGAGCCACAATCTCAAAATAAGACACTGGGGCAGGGTTAGTGGGGTCAGACTTCAGTGACCCCCTAAACCCAGTCTGACAGCACCCAGTCAGTGCGGGCTCCAGAGACACTGGCCTGACCCCGAGGCCAGGGCTCTTTTAGACAGTGTTATGGAGTGGCGGCACACCTGGGGGTGATCAGGACTCAGGTCATGCCAGGATTCAAGTTGGGGCTCTGCACGCACCGGGACAGGACACCCTCCATGCATCCCTCTTTGGGAGCACCCCTCGCACGCCCATAAGTCCCCTGCACCCTGCTAAGCAGAAACCCAGCTCCCAGCATCACACTCACACACACACACATACACACACACACACACACACACACGCACACACGCATGCAAGCGCATGGCTGGGGCAGAGTCGCACTTCTCTGGGTCCTGCATTCAGGGGGCGAGGATCCAAACCTGGTTTTTTGTTTGTTTTTGGGCCACACCTGAAGGGGCTCAGGGCTCTGCACTCAGGGATCCTTCTGGAGGGGCAGAGGGAACCCGATGGGATCGAACCCGATCTGGCTCCAAGCAAGCCAGGTGCCTGATTAGCCCCTGAGCTCTCGATGCAGCCGGAGTAAATTCTCTGGAAAGGAGGTTCTAGGTAAGGTGCTGGAGGAGCCCTGGGCTGGGGCTGACGAGCAGGGCAGGGAGAGCTGGGGCGCCTGTGGCAGGGATGCTGAGGGCTTGGGGTGATTTGTAGGGGGGCACACACAGCGTGTACCCTGAGCAGGCGGTGGTGGCAGACCTGGTAGTCTCTGCTTATAAAGCCAGGGCTGAGCCGTGGGAAGACCCTCCAGACAGGGGGCAAACAGCAGATGGTTTCTGGGCCACACCCACGGGGGGGAATCATAGGGGATGGCGGGATTCAAACCCAGATCAGTTGCGCATAAGGCAAGCACCCTCATGGCTGTGCTATTGCTCAGGGCCCCAAAGCATTTTTTTTTCTTTTTGGGTTACACCCGGCAATGCACAGGGGTTATTCCTGGCTCTGCACTCAGGAATTACTCCTGGCAGTGCTCGAGGGACCAGTGCTGGGAATCAAACCCGAGTCAGCTGCATACAAGGCAAACGCCCTACCTGCTGTGCTATTGCTCCAGCTCCAATTTTTAAACTTTTTTTCCTTTAGGACCTTGGGCCACACCCAGCGGTACTTAGGGGGCCATTTGAGGTGCCAGGATGCAACCCGGGTTTGTTTGTTTTGGGCCACACCTGTGTGCAAGGCAAATCGCCGTGACCCAAGGGAAGAGCACACTGGTAGCGAGGGTTTGCACGCGACCAAAAGCAAGGATCCGAGGATTCCCAGGGAAATCACTGGGATGATGCAGCAGACCTGGGTTCCACCCGGGCACCCACAGTCCCCAGCCCTGTCCCCACTCGTCTGTGGGCACTGAGGATCTGGTGCAAATAACTCCTGACTCGACCCTCTTCCGACAGCCCAGGGGACGGTGACCCCACAGACGCCCATGTGTTCAGATGCCCTCACCTGGCTCTAGGCCTGGGATGGGGGACAGCAAGGTGGGTGTGGGCTGGGCAGACCCTCTTTCCCCCAACCAAGGGCTTCTGTGACAATTGCTAGCTGTAATGAGGGGTCTTTACCACCACCTTGAAGGGGGGGCTGGCCCCCCACCTCACTATGGGAAAAGCAGGGCAGGGCGGGGGCAGTGAGGGGCTCAAGGTCATGTGGCTGGCCAGTGCCAGACTGAGGGGGTTCAGTGCACTGTTCCCCCACCTCCCATGCACGGCAAGTGTAAAGGGTGCTGGCGCAGCCTGGACCTGAGCAAGGTGTGGAGCGCTCAGCCAGGAGTGAATGAAGTGTAACAGGCAGTGGGGTGGGGTGGGGCCAGAGATGTTGGGCAGGACTTAGGGAGCAAGGGCGGAGCTTGAGGACCAGGGGCGGGGCCTGAGGAGCAGGGGCGTGGACAGATGAGCAGGCGGGGCCAGGGGAGCAGGACAGATGAGTAGGGCGGGACCTGAGGATCAGGGGCGGAGCCTGAGGATCAGGGGTGGGACTCAAGGGCAGAGCTTGCGTAGTAGAGGTGGGGCTTTCGAACTGGGGGCGGGGCTCGAGGAGCAAGGGCGGAGCTTGAGGAGTAGGGGAGGAGCCAGAAAAGGAGGAGAGGGCTTTCCTGCACTTAGGCAATAGCAGGGATCCACAAACAGGCCCAACCGCCCTGTTTGTTTCTGAGGGGAGTGCTCATTCTTACCCGGGGGCCGAAGTCTCCTGGTGCACCCTAGAAACACAAACACAGGGGCCACGTCAACCATGGTTCCCGCGACACTTCCCTGCAAACACCCCTTCAACTCTGCTGTGTCATGTTTTCCTTTCTGTTGGGCGGGAGTGACAGCAGATGGTGCTCGGGAGAACTGACTGGCCAACGCCGAGATGGTGCCCTGCCCACCTATATGCAAAGCAAGTGCCTTACCCTCTGCTGAGTCTCTGCTTCCACTTTTTTTTTTTTTTTTTTTTGCTTTTTGGGTCACACCCAGGGATGCTCAGGAGTTACTCCTGGCTCTGCAGTCAGGAATCACTCCCCTGGCGGTGCTTGGGGGAACCATATGGGATGCTGGGAATGGAACCCGGGTTGGCCACGTGCAAGGCAAACGCCCTACCTGCTGTGATCGCTTCAGCCCCTCTGCTTCCACTTTTATTTTTAATTACCACAACTGTTTGTTGATTTTGGGCCACACCTGGAGGAAGTACTCAGGGACTCTGCCCAGTTCAGTGCTGGGGGTCAGTCCTGGTGGTGTCTGGGGACCATGTGCTGTGCTAAAAATGGTCTCCTCGTAGGCAGAGCCACACCCCAGCCTCATTCATTGTTATAGTTTAATTAATTTGGGGGGACTTTTTCTTTCTCTTTGGGGGGTGGGGTTTGGGCCACACCCAGTGGTGCTCCTGGTTCTTACTCAGGGATCACTCCTGGTCGTGCTCAAGGGACCTTACAAGGTGCTGGGGATCAAACTAGAGTATGCCACATGCAAGGCAAGTACACTCCAGGCTCGCATATTGCTCCAGCATCTGGAGCTCTTCTGAGTGACGTGAGTGGATTCTACGTGTTGGGGATGGAACCAGGCTTGGAGCTGACTCCTGGCTCAGAATTCAGCCATCACGCTAGGTAGATGCCAGGGACTGAACTCAGGTCGGGTGAGTGCAAGGTAAGTGCAAAGTAACCTACTCAGTCTCTGACCTCTGATTTTACTTTTTTTTGGTCACACCCAGTGACGCCCAGGGATTACTCCTGGCTCTGCACTCAGGAATCACTCCTGTTGGTGCTCTGGGGACCATATGCAGGATGGTGGGGACCGAATCTAGGTTGTCCACGTGCAAGGCAAATGCCCTACCTGCTGTACCATTACTTTGGCCCCTGATTTTACTTTTGAATTTTATTTTGGAGCCACACCTGGCTATGCTCAGGAGCGCCCTCGAGCAGTCCAGGGACTGAAACGGGGTCGTGCGAGATCTAAGGCCTGGCTGTCCCATGTCTCCAGCCAGAGTAAAATTCTTTCATTATTTATTTTTGGTTTTGGAACCACCCATGGTGGTGCTCAGGCCTTCCTTCCTCACTCAGAGACCACCTCTGGTAGGTTTCGGGGAATTCTACGTGTCGGGGATGGAAACAGGCTTGACTACGTGCACAGCCAGTGCTCTTCCATTGTACTATCGCCCTGGCCCTGCCAGAGTCACTTTTAAATCACCACGTGTACAGACCAAGGCTGTGGGCCCTGTGGGGAATGGGGAGGGAAAGTGTCAGGTGCATCGGAGGGATCCTCCCTTGAGCCTCATGTCACCCTCCGGGACACAGAGCCCACAGATCTGTAATGATGGACCCCCCCTGCATCGTCCTTGGCCCCTGGCTCTGTTCCCTGGGCTCAGAGTCTACTTGGACTCCAGTGCTCTTGTGATGACCCCCCGTTACACCGCTGAAGGGTCTGGACAGGAGCTTGACAACCTGAGAGGCATCAGGACGAGAGGGGGTTGCAGGTTTCTGGCCCCCCGGGCCTGGCTCCAGTGTCACCTACCTTTTCACCCTTGGGGCCTGGCAGTCCCTGAGGAAGAAGAGAAAGAAAGAGCAGACTTGAATGGCTTGCCAGGATTCGCCACCCTCGGTTTCTTAGGGTGGGGGCTACCCCACCCCCCCCTTTTGAGGAGTGGAGTTGTGGAGTCCTCGGATGAATGGGCTGTGGAGTCCTTGGATGAATGAGCTTCAAGAGAGAGCATGGTGTTAAATGGTGTTAAATCCCTGAGCACTATGCCCAGTGGTGCTTAGGGATTAATTCTGGCTATGTTCAGGGATTGGTTCTGGCTGTTCACAGGGGCCAGATGGGAGGCCAGGGATGGAATCCAGGTCAGCCACATGCAGGGCAAGCGCCCACCCCACTGTGCTGTCACTTCCACCCCTGGCCCCCTTCTTGTGCTGGAAACTCAGTCCTGTGAAGGACCAGGTCCTGGCAGTTCAGAAAGGCTCTGAGTATTTGGGGTGGGGTGGGCATTGTGTGTCCGACCTGACCCCTGCCCTGACCCTTTCCAAACCTCCAGCAGGTAATACAGGTTCCTCATCACCGTTCAACGACCCACCTGCCCACACACCATCACTAATCAGCCCAGCACCGGCCTTAGCTCTTAGTTTCTTCACTGTCTTGTCTTATCCATCAGGGTACATTTATGTATAAGGGGTCCACTTTTCCCACCTCTAACTCTGTACGATCCACGCACCACCCGCCATCCATCTATTCACTCATCATCCATCCACTGCCCACTATCCATCATGCACCCGCCCACCATCCATGTACCCACGACCATCTATCCATCCTCCCACCCATCTCTCCGTCCGACCCTCACACCCATCCATTTATCTGGGTATCAGGACCAATCTATTTGTTCACCAGTCCACCCCCTTCCTTCTTTCCTCCATCCTCTCCACCTACCCACCCACCTACCCATTCCTCCTTCCCTCTGTCCATCCATCACTTTTTTTTTTGCGGTCACACCCAGTGATGCACAGGGGTTATTCCTGGCTCTGCACTGAGGAATTACTCCTGGCGGTGCTCAGGGGACCATATGGAATGCTGGGAATCAAACGCGGGTCGGCCGCGTGCAAGGCAAATGCCCTACCTGCTGTGCTATGTCTCCAGCCCCCATCCATCCATCATTTAATACCATACTCTCTCTTGAAGCTCATTCATCAAGGACTCCACAGCCCATTCCCACCCAACCCTGGGTCCCCAGTGGCCCAGGGGCTGCTGTATGCTGTGTGGTGTGGGTGGGACATGTCCTCTCAGAGGTGTGGGGCCCAGAGTCCCAGGACCCTGTTGGATGTGCAGCAGTGGAGGCTGGGGGGGCCGTGACCTCACTCAGTCTGTCGTCACCACTGGCCTTTTGGAGGACCCTTTTCTGGGTGTCTCTTGCACAAACCCCACAGGCTCTTGTCACCATGACTTACAGGTTTCCCGTCCAGACCCAGCGGCCCCTGGGGAGGGAGAGAGCAGAGGTTACTGTGTGCAGAGCATCTCTGGGGTTGGCCCCCTGAAGTCCCCTCCCAGCTTCATAGGGTGGAGGGGGGACTCCTGAGGGCCCAGGGCCGGAGAGTCAGCGGGGAGGAGGCACAGCTGAGAGGCAGAGATGGGAACAGGAGGGTGCCAAGTCCAGTCGCGGAGCCCCCACCCGCCTCCCGGGAATACTGCAGCCACAGACGGGGTTCAGGGAGGCATGTCGGGTCGTCCCCGCTCCAGAGAGCCCCTGCGCCGGCTCCACCTGCACCCCAAGTTCGGCAGCCCTGCCCCCCACCTGGGACATGTGTGGGAGCCGGGGACCCCCCTTCTGTGCCCCTCACGGCTGCGGATGCCCCCACTCACCCAAGGAAGGGTCCCAGGGGCTCTGTGGGGTCTGCAGAGCGGAGATCACAGTGCCTGTCACACCCCCCATATGTGACGCCTTGCTGAGCTGGGGGGGCACTCTCGTGCCTGCCACCCAGCCCACACTCTACCTCACCCCCCCCCATTTCACCCCTTGACCCCAACAGTGTGGATGAGCACCCGAGTCTTGGCGGCACTACAGGGAGCGACTCAGCCTGCCTGGCACAGGCACTCCCACCTGCTTTCAGCACAGTGCCACCTCTTCCAGGAAGCCTCCCAGACTTCACACTGCCCAGGGCCCCTAGTCTCTGCGTCCCACACAGGTCTGGACCGGCCTGCAGGACCCTGGCCTGGAGATGGGGGTGCAGCCTTATGAGGCAGGGAGGAAAGTGACCTCTCGCCCACTTCTGGCCCTTGCCAGACTAAAACCCACCTAACTTTGGGGGGCCTATCTGGAGGTGTCCAACCTTGAAGACTTCTCGGAGGTGGGGACACATCTGCCTTTGGAGGGGCCTGTCTGGAGGTGGACCCGGCTCCCACCTGTGGGGGTCTGGGAGCTCCCGAGGCCACTCAGGGGTGCCATGTCCTCCTCCCAGGGCTGACTGGGCTTTCCCTAGCTACTACAGCTCCTCCATCGGGTCCCCATCCTGGGATTCATCCCTCCAGCCTGCTCCATGAGGAAAGCCAGGACAACCCCCCCCCCCAGTTGTGCTCAAGTGCTTCTGGGTCAGCAGAGGGAGGGACGACTCTGGAGCCACGGGGGTCCCTGGAGACAGGGTGAGGGAGGGGAGCGGGTCGTTCTAAAAGCCTAGGGGTCCTGCCCCTATCCCGGGGTCTCCTGAGGGGTGCCCAGGAGGACTGAAGGGTCAGTGTGAGGAAGGAGGGGGCCACCGGGCCACATCTGTGGGGCTTAGGGGCACCTCTGTGGTACGAGGGACGGGGACCTCAGACTGGCCGCCCCAGTCGGGGCTGTCCTCACTGTCCTGCCCCATGAACTGGGTCTGTTTCCCCAAGCCCATGTCTGTTAGGGGCTGGGGGATGCCTGGGCGAGCTTTACCAAGCAGGAAATCAGCATTCCCGGGGGGCTGGAGGAGAGGCTGCTGCCCAACACCCCCTCCCCCCGCCCAGCCTGACTCTGGGCAGGGAGAGAAGGAGCAACCCCGGGAAGGGCGAGTCCCAAATGGGGGGTGCAGGTCAGGCCTGCTCAGGGCTCCATGTCAGCAGGCTGTGTGGGGAGCAGCTGGGGCCCCTCCTTCATGATGTGGGGTCACTCCGCCCCCCTCCCTTACCCAGGGCCAGGCCTGTGCATCAGGAAGAGAGGCCCATCTCTGTGCTTAGCTGCCAGGCCTGGTTCCCTGGGGCGGGCGGGGTCCCTCTCCACAGCAGATCAGGGCCAGGGGCTCTCTGCCCCCCTCTCAGCTGCTCCTCCCCAGCCCCCACGGCTGCTCTCAGACTCGGGGCTTCCACCTGAGTGGATATCAGTCCAGATCCACGGGGAGCCCAGCCCCTCAGAGCTCCTTGCCCCCCCCCATGCCATGATGCTTCCAGAGCCTCAGTTTCCCCTTTTCCCCTCCCAAACAAGAAGCCCCACCCCCATCCCTGGCTCATCTGGCAGGAAGATTCCCGAGTGGGGGCAGGAAAGGGGTGGGGGGGCTCTGGTTAAGTTGGGAGCGTTGCAGCACCTTTGAGGGGGGGTCACTGAACAGAGCAGGACCCATATACTGGCCTGGTTCCGGCAGCAGAACCCCCCTGACTCAACCCCTGCTGGGCTGGGCAGGCCACAGTCTTTTCTGTTTGTGATTAAGGGGCATTATGGGGACCTGCCCCCCACTGTGCCCCGACAGGGCCCTGAAGGAAGGGGCTTGACGGGGATTATCAGCCCTGGGCCCAGTAATTGCAGCCCAGATGTCAACAATTTGTCCAACTACAAGGTAGTGGGCAGCGGGGACCTGCCCCCCATTTCTGGCTGAATGGTCCCCTTCTGGGGGGGTCGGCATTCTGGGGGTGCAGAGGCCTGGTGGTGTTACCAGCTTGGGGGCTTCTCCTGAGACGGCTGCCCCCCTCCCTTGTGGCTCCAGGAGGGGGCGCTGTGCCTCTGCTACACGGCGGCCCTGGGCAGGGGGGTGTATAGGGGTGTGGGGGAGCTGAGTGGGGTGCTAGGGAGTCCAGGAGTCTGGCCTGGCTTGCAGAGTTTTGCTTCAGCACCAGGACTTCGTAGAAATGAGCACAAACGCGTTTCCGCTACCCGGAAGCTCCCACACTTGGGGAGCCTGTGCCCAGCCCCCAGCCCCCATTCCCGAGCCTCCCGCCCCGAGTCTGTTTGGGCACTGGGCACATCCTTTCTCTGCACTTTTTGTCTTTGGGCCACACCCAGCGATGCTCAAGGGTTACTCCTGGCTCTGCACTCAGGAATCACTCCTGGCAGTGCTTGGGGGACCATACGGGATGCCAGGGATTGAACCCGGGTCGGCTGCATGCAAGGCAAACGCCCTCCCCCACTGTGCTGTCGCTCCCGCCCCTCACACCTCCCATCCTTGGAGCAACTTATTCCAGGCTTGAGCCGCACACAGCATGCAGCAAGGCTGGAATTCTCCCCCACCCAGACCTGGTTCCCACGGCTATTTCTGGCTATTACATTCCATACACCAAGCTCTCATTTCCTCTGGCCAGCAAAAAAACAAGTTTCAGGGGTGCAGAGTGGCCCACCTGAACTCGATTCTCTTAGCCCTATATGGTCCCCCAAGCCCTCCCAGGAGTAAGCCCTGAGTACCGCCAGGTGTGGCCCCAAACCACAAATAGGAGAAAACAGACGAGCTGGTTTCCCACCAGCACTGGCGCTGCCTGGACACTAGGGGCCGCTCCTGACCTGCCTGACTGCCCCACCATGTGGGTGGGGTGTGTGTTTTGGGGGGTCCCTGATTTCTGAGACTGATGCCAGCCCTCCTTTGGTCCCATCCGGGGGCAGTGCTGCATACGTGCTCTTTCCTAGAAAGGGGTGCAGACCACCTGCTGCCCGTGACCGGGAGGAAAGCCAGACTGGTCAGCGCCGACATATCAAAGTCCAGGACCAACTCCGGGGAGGCAGGGATGTATTTCCGAACAAGGGTGTGTTTGGGGGGGGCACACACCCTTGTCCCCTAGCTGTCCCTGCACTGGTGGGGTAGTCTGCCCTGTGCTGGGGGTGGGGGTGTGCAGAAACCAGCACCAGACTTGGGGAGTTTGGGGGGCCACCCCTCCCCAATTCTCAGGGTTGACTCCTGGCTCTGTGCTCAGGGATCAGTCTTGGCTGTGTTCAGGGGACCCCCTGGAATGTTAGGAATCAAACCCGGGTGGGCATATTTATTTATTATAAGGCAAGCGTCTTACCCGTGTTCTATTGACCTTGGGGAGGTCATGACTGGGGGTCACGGGGGGGGGGGCAGGAAGCAGGGAGACTTCGGGAACCTCCCTGAGATGAGAGAAGGAGATGTCAATCGGAAGGAGATAAGGTGGGGCCATAGCAGATGACTCGTGGGCTAACTACATTTTAATAAGCGGCCTGTGCTAACAGTTCCCAAGTGCATTGGCTGGTCCAGTCTAAGAAGTGCCCCCAACCTGCGACACCACCCCACCATTCCCTTACAGAAGAGTCCCAGCCTGGGGCCGCCTTCCCTGCTCCACATTCCTGGTGCTAGTTTGGGGTAGTGCTAGGTAGTACGTGGTACGGTGTTGAGTCCCTCCTCCCTCTGCTGGCTCCTGCATCCATCTCCCACCCCGCACCTGCCATGTTTTTTTTGGGGGGGGTGGGGTGGGAGGCTGGCTCCTGTTCATGGTCTCTGGGGAGCAAAGGGCTCCTTGTGCTCTGGCGATGTACTGCGTGAACTGCTTTCTGTCTGTCCACTAGTGAACTCCTATCCATGCCTCAAAATACGGGCTCAGCAGTGAGGACACTTAGGCGCCCCTGCCCGGCACTTCTGCTGCTTAGTTTTTTATTTATTTCTTAATACTATTATTTTGGTTTTGGGGCCACACCAGGCGATGCTCAGGAACTACTAAGTGATTGGGGGACCCTATGGGGTGCCAGGGATTGAACCTCAGCCAGCTAGGTTCAAGGCGAGCATCCTTCCTGATGTCCTCCTGCTCCGCCCAGCTTCTCGTGTTCAGAACCACAGGTGCCACACTAAAGATGAGACTGTGCCACCAAGCGCTGCCAGGCCCAGCAACCACCAGGGGAAAGGAGGAGGGGCGGGGGAATGAAAAACAGGCAGTGCTGAACAAACACCATGGCCTCTTAGCACCTGTACTGCAAGTCGTAACGCACAAAAGGAAAAGGAGAGAGAGAGCAAGAAGGAAGGTGCCTTCCATAGAGGGAGGCTGGGGGTAGGGATTAGGGGGTTGGGGGATGGTGGTGGAGCAACAGAACACATTGGTGGTGGGAAATGTACACTGGGGGAGGGATGGGTGCTGGATCATTGTATGACTGAAACCCAATTATGAACAGCTTTGTAATGGTCTATCTCAGGGATATGCAATTAAAAAAATTTTTTTTAAAGTAACGTGGAGGGGCTGGAGTGACAGCACAGCGGGTAGGGCGTTTGCCTTGCACGCAGCCCGACCTGGGTTCGATTCCCAGCATTTCATATGGTCCCCCGAGCACGGCCAGGAGTAATTCCTGAGTGCATGAACCAGGAGTAACCCCTGTGCGTCACTGGATGTGACCCCAAAAGCAAAAAACAAACAAAAAAAAAACAAAAAAAAGTAACGTGGAGTTCTTGCCCAATTCGATCAACTTAATCAATGGCTGAATAAAAAGCAGTACTCCCACATTTTTTTTTTTAAAGGGCACTAGGGAGGGCTCTTGCCTTGCATTCTGGTGGGGTCTCAAGATCACTCCGGGCCAACAGGGCTAGATGTCTTGAAGCCTGGTCCAGTGATGTGAGTGTTTCAGTGCAGGGGTGCTGGGCTGGGCGGACATCAGGGCTCCACCTGGTGCTGACGGGTGGGGGTAGGCAGTGGTGCCCGGGACAGATGGTGTCTGGTATTCCATACTCGACCACCAGGTGGCAGTGACACACCACACAGAGATGATTAAAAACAGCTGCATAACTCAGGTTATACTTCAAAATGAAACAAACAAACAAAAAAGGCAGTGTTCAGGGGCTCAGGAATTACTCCTGGAGTGCTCGGGGGATCATATGGGATGCTGGGGATCAAACCTGGGTCAGCCGTGTTCACCAGCTGAGTACATTGCTCGGGCTCCCTTGGGATATAAAAGGTAAAGGTAAAGGCCCTCCCGTTGATCGTCGATTTGCTCGAGCGGGCCCAGTAACGTCTCCATTGGAGACTTTGTTGTTACTGTGTTTGGCATATCGAATACTCTCGGTAGCTTGCCGAGAGGGCTCTCCAAGAGGGGCGGAGGAATCGAACTCTGGTCGGCCATGTTGGCCACGTGTAAGGCGAACGCCCTACTCGCTGTGCAATGAAAACTGCTGCAGGGGCCAAAGAGAGTGCTGTGGGCCAGCCCTCACCCTGCACGCGGCTGACTCAGGTTTGGTCCTCAGTACTACATATGACCTCCCGACTCCTGCCAGACAGGAGTGATGCCCGAGTACAGCGTCAATAGTATGCACTGGGCACAACCTAGTTGTGAGCCCAACATTAAAAATTAAACAAGCAAAAACATCTCCAAAAAATACATCAGTGAAACCAAGGTACTCTCCCAAAACATGTTTTGTTGTTCATTTTTGGTTTTGTGTCACACCTGTCAGGGCTTACTCCTGGCTCTGTACTCAGGAGCCACTCCTGGGGGGCTCGGGGGACTGCATGGAGTGCCAGGGAACAAACCTGGCATCTGAAAAGCAAGAGCCTGTATGCTGTCCTATTGCTCTGCCGCCCCCGACCACTTTTTTTTCTTAACCGCACCATATTGGCTCTGACGGAAAACTATGACAATCTTTGCATTGACCAGGTGTTTGTTTATTTTGAGGGGGGTGGAGGGTGGAATAGGGGGTGGAGGTCCTCTGGCCCAGGCATCTGGAGGGCAATTTAGTGGCACACATCACAGCCGGAAACATGTGCAAGTCCTTTGGTGAAGTAACAACATTTCTTCTAAAGAGATCATGGAGCTAAGCAAATAAGCTTATTCCTATTGTTTCTAGAATGTTGCATATGGGGGTGAATGAGTCACAGTTGAAGTGCTACAACTTGAAGCCAGGCTCAGACATGCCACGGAGGATAAAATGCCACTCGGAGCTTATATTTCAGAACGAATGTGTGTGTGTGTGTGTGTGTGTGTGTGCGCGCGCGCGCGCGCTAGGGTTGGGGGTAGAGGGGCCACACCCCAGCTGTGCTCAGGGGCTGTTCCTGGCCTTGGGCTCAGGGGATATTATAACTGGGCCCTGGGGCGCCCTCTGGTGGCCCTCAGGGGATATTCATAACTGGGCTCCGGGGCGCCCTCTGGTGGCGCTCAGGGGACGTTCATAATTGGGCTCCGGGGCGTCCTCTGGTAGCACTCGGGCGCCCCGCTGATGATGCTGAGGGTGAGCCTAAGTGGTGCTGCGGATTCCAACATCATGCATTGCGCTGCATGAAAGGCAAGCGCTGTCCTTCCTCTGCTCTCTGACCCTCTAGAAGAATTCTTACTGATGCAAAACAATCTTCTGTCCATGTGGTGGGGGGAGACAACCAACCCCAAGAGCATGTTCCTGGAAGTTCATTTCAGAAGAAACATGAAAGCGAAACCTTCCCACTGAGAAACAGCGAGCAGTGCCCACACCCAGGGGACACTAAGGCCTTGGCTGCGGGTGACAGGACAGCAGAGGAGCTGATCCTGTCTTTTTTTGGTGCTTTTCTTTCTTCTGGGAAGGTTGTATCATAAACATATTGCTGTCAAGACTCCCTCTAGAGACTAAAAGACAGGCTGACCTCGGGCTGAGGGGTCCTGTGGTGGGGGTAAGGCAACAATCTGCCTATCAGTCGTGACACATGGGGATGGCCCTGGCCACCCCTCCTGGGTCCACATAAGCCTGTGATTCCAGCTGGTTTCACTGTGGGACACTGGCTGTGCTGCATTCATCCCCAAACAGCTGTCGTACTTTCTGACTCCTTCCTCCACCCCCACCCCCCCGTGTGCTCACTTTGCCTTTTATTCTTTGTTTTGGGGCCACACGCGGCAGTCTCAGGGCTTACTATTGGCTTTGCACTCAGGGATGACTCCTGGTTGGCTTGGGAGACCATCTGGGATGCTGGGATTGAAACTGGTTGGCTGCGTGCAAGGCAAGTGCTCTTACTGATGCAAAACTTACTGTCCTGGGGCTGGAGCGATAGCACAGCGGGTAGGGTGTTTGCCTTGCACGCAGCCAACCCGGGTTCGATTCCCAGCATCCCATATGGTCCCCTGAGCATCGTCAGGAGTAACTCCTGAGTGCAGAGCCAGGAGTAACCCCTGTGCATCGCCGGGTGTGACCCAAAAAGCAAAACAAAAACAAAAAAACTTACTTTCCCATTAAGCAAGTGACATGAGGGGATGAGCAGAGCAGGGAGGGCACCTGCTTTGCACGTGGCCGACCCAGGCTGGATTCCCAGCACCCCGTATGGTCCCCTGAGCACTGGGCATTGCCAGAAGTGATCCCTGAATGCAGAGCCAGGAATTACCCCTGGGCATCACTGGGTGTGACCCAAAAACTTAAAAAGAAGGCTCAGACCACTGGAGTACAGGCCTTCTGGGTGGGAACCCCAGATTCTGTCCCCCAAGATAAGAACCCCCAGTGATCCCTAAGATCAGCAGCTTGGCATAGCCCCCCAACACACAATCACCCCTCCCCAGCCTCACTCTAAATGGGGAACCATGGCTTTTAGTCCAAAGGAAAAAATAAATCCTTCCCGAAGCTGGCTCTGGGGCTTAGTAAGTTGCAGAAAATAAAATAAAACAAAACCAAGGTAAAAGGTAAAGGTAAAGGCCCTCCCGTTGTTCATCGATTTGCTCTAGCGGGCCCAGTAACGTCTCCATTGGAGACTTTGTTGTTACTGTGTCTGGCATATCGAATACTCTCGGTAGCTTGCCGGGGGCGGAGGAATCGAACTCGGGTCGGCCATGTTGGCTTCGTGCAAGGCAAATGCCCTAAACGCTGTGCTATCGCTCCAGCCCAGAACTAAATAAGACAAAAGCCTTTTGGGGCTGGAGCAACAGTACAGCAGGGAACATGCTTGCCTTGCCAACCTGGGTTCGATCCTCAGCATCCCAAAGGGTTCCCCTAGTACTGCCAGGAGTAATTCCTGAGTAACTCCACAGCCAGGAGTTAGCCCTGAGCATAGCAAGGTGTGACCAAAAACAAAACAAAACAAAAAAAATGCCTTTTCTACATGGGATTTCCTCACAGACTGTCATCTCTGTCACCCAGGAACAACGAACAGAACAACGAGGAAGGCTGCTGTCAGCGATCCAGACGGGCCTCATCAGAAACCAGCAGGCCCCATGGAGGTCACAGAGCAATTGACTTAAATTCTGCCTGTGATCAACCCTCTAGCTTCAAGACCCAAGAGCCTGTGTGAGGGCAGTTTGGCCATCCACACCTGAGGGGTCTCTGAGGAGGGGAGGCAGCCGCCCTGCCTTCTGGGGTGACACACTGGGCCCAGCTCGGCGCTTAGGGGCTGGATCCACTGATGCTCGAGGGACTACGTGGTTCCAGGGACCAAACTCGGGGCTCTCACGTGCAAAGCCTGCACTTGCACCTCAGAACCCCTAGCCCCTGGGCACCCCTCTCTGCACACTGTCCCACAGGTCCCCCGCTTAAACACGGCCCAGGGGGGCCACCCCAAGTTTAAGCTGCCTGTAGCTTCTGTGGTCAGAGACCCCAAGATGTTACGAAAGCACAGGTCAAACCATGTGCCTGACCCGTCTGCCCCCCAGTGCTGATCTCCACGGCCCTGCAGGTCAGGAAGATAAACAGGGGGTATGTATACATGGAGGTATACACATGCCCAGACCGATTCCTTCTGGAAGCTTCTGTGCTGTCTGCAGGCTGCCTGAAGTGCAGACAGACCCCCCCACCCCCACCCCCACCCCGTGTTTCCCTGGCAGTGGAGGGCAGGGATCGGGCTGGGGAGAAGCAGAGAGTTGGCAGAGGCTCAGAAGGGGACTTAAGGTTTGAGAGGGAAAAAAAGCTGAAGAGAACAGAGGATAAATGAGCAAATTACCGGGTAGCCGTCTCGTCCCGCGGGGCCCTGCAGCATGAACACGGCGTTAATGACCACCTTCAACGGAAGCTGGTGGTGCCCACCCCCCGCCCGCTCGCCTGTACCCCGCCTCGCCTCTGCCGTGTGCCTGGGTACATAGAGCCGGGGCAGGAGCTGCGCCTCCCCCCGATCACCAGCACATGTGGGGCCCCAGGGCGCAGCCTCAGTCTCCCCGGCCCACAGTAAATGCTCCGTCCAAGGGAGGAACAGGGGAAAGAAACTTCCTCCCACCTGCGCACACACCTGATGAACACTCAGGTACTCAACAGGCTCCATGGGATGACAGGGTTTTTGCTTCTACTTGGGGACTGCACACCATGACTGAGCTCCCAGCTCTGTGTTGTGTTGGAGAGGTGGGGGTCGAACCTGGGACCTCCCACATCACGTAGAGCAAAGCTTGTCCTTTTTTTTTTTTCCCAGTGTTTGGGCCACAGTGTTTACCTACTACTGGCTCTGCACTCAGGGCTTTTTCCCTGTGGTGCTGGGGCATCATATGGGATGCTGAGATCCCACCTGGGCTGTTGCAGGCAAAGCACATGCCCTACCCGCTGTACTCTTGCTGGGGCCCCAGGCTTGCCCTCTTGCGCTCAGGCCAGCCCCTTCTGAGAGGGCCCGAGTTCTCACTCCCATCTTGGGAGTCTGGGAAGGCCTTTCCCCCATTCTCCAGGAGGTGAGTTACAAGCTGGTAGTGAACGACCTTTTTGTTTTGATTTTTGGGCCACACCTAGCAATGCTCAGGTGTTATCCTGGCTCTTGGCTCAGGGATCACTCCTGGCTGTCTCAAAAGGCCATATTAGATGCGGGAGATTGATCCTTCCCAGTGTACACTGGTTCAGGAGTTAATTTTGCAATGCCCCCCGCCCCCAACAAGGATCACGGCTAATGTGGGGGTGCCGGGCTCCTGTGGGTACTAAAGGCTGCTTGGGGCAGCAGATGCAGAGGAGACGTGGGTTCCCGCACCCTGGGAAGTCAGAGACTGGGATGTGGGGGCTGGGGGCACACGCCTGCTTCTTGAAACCCCTGAATCCACAGCTCTCGAGCATGGAGCCCTAATACCACTCAACCCACGGATAGCAGCTCAGCCTCCTGGGCATTCACTCCAGATGCATCTAAATGCTCAAATAAAGCCCAAGAAAGCACTTGAGGTCTCCACAGAACCCGGCTGAGATGCGTAGGCACAGCCGTGCAGGAGGGTTGGTGGGAGCACAGCCATGCATGCACCAGCACACCGGCACCCTGCACGTACCCATACATGCATGCAGCACATACCCTGCACTCACTCGCACACACTAGCATGCATGCAATCACCATGTAAGGTGCCAGCACAAGAGCCGACACAGGCGTGCACCCAGGGAGCAGAAGGAAGCACAGGCACACAGGTACCCCGCACCCACACGCCCCCCCGCCACACACACGGGCACACACATGGCATGCACCCACACACGCACACAGGCATCCACGAGGACATACATGCACGCAGCCACGTATGCACACAGACATCCACGAGGGCATACACACATGCACGCAGCTGTAGGATAACATTGCCACAGGGAGCTTAGGTTTATTGGTTACACCCATCACAGTGCTCCCAAGTCACTCCCATTCCTCTGTATTTTTCTGTAAACTCTTCTCTGTGCTCTCCTCCCCAATCAGCTAATCACCTTTTCTCCCTAATCAGATTCTGTTAGCTTGTAAGAACAGATCCTTCTTAAGACACTGAACTTGTATTATAAGTTATGTCTTTTGCATAGTTTACCTTAAAGCAATGTTCTTTCTGTATGGACACAGGAAGACAGTTAATATTATGCTTTGTAACTTGGGAGTTGATTGACTCCAAATAATATTTACTCCTGGGCATTTGCTTTCTTGACTCAGTTGCCCTGAGTTCCTAGCACCCCAAAAGCAGGGTCCCGACGAGGACCCTGGGCAATGGACCCAGGGCAAGCTGTGAGCTACCCTGGCATCGAAATGGGCCAGGCCAAAGCGTCACAATAGTCAACTATAAAAGTTGAGGGCATGGTCACAGACAAATGCTGTCATGATCCAAAGGTAACAACGAGACTAGGACCCTGCTGGGGCTAGGAAGACTAACCTGGCCTGAGGACTGCAGAATATATAGTGAGATGTCCTCAGGAAGAACCAAACTAAGTTTATATCTCTTACTGTGCTCATACAGAATGACATTGCTAGAAATATTAGAAGTAGATTTACTACAACTATATAAGTGGATTACTAGCTGAGGAAAGAACACACCCTCGTTGGGATCCCACCCTTGAGCAGGTCTCCTAGTAATCTGGTGTAATCTCTTTAGATGAGATTTTTTATCCTTGAGTTAATCTCCTGGAGGAGTGATCTTACCTCCCTTGGTTTTTTTTTTTGGCTTTTTTTTGGGGTCACACCCGGCGATGTTCAGGGGTCACTCCTGGGTCATGCACTCAGGAATCACTCCTGGCGGTGCTCGGGGGATCATATGGGATGCTGGGAATCGAACCTGTATCGGCCATCTTGGCTGCGTGCAAGGCAAACGCCCCTACCCGCTGTGCTATCGCTCCAGCCCCTTACCTCTCTTTGTTGATTTGTTAATGTTCAACCCACCTTTGTGTCACCACCCTAGTCACTGCTATATACAAACTAAGACTGTAAGCTCGGGCTCGGGCTCCAGAGGGCAGAGTCAGAGGTGAGAGGGGCTCAGGCTTGAGAGAAAGAAGCAGAAGGGGAGTGAAGATTGGAATCAACTACAATTGATACCGACCAGGCGGGTCCTCGTTCCTTCACCTACCTCCCCGTTGACCTCTCCGGGGCGGGGGAAGCGACGTGAGACTACCGAACGCGGGCGGCGGGAGAGATAGAGAGCCGCCGGCTTTTTGAAAACACACACGTAGCCACGCACGCACACAGGCATCCATGAGGGTATACACACGTACACGCAGTCACGCATACACACAGACATCCATGAGTGCATACACACATGCACGCAGCCACACACGCACACAGAAATCCACAAGGGTATACACACATGCACGCAGCCACGCATACACACAGGCATCTATGAGGACATACACACATGCACGCAGTCATGGACGCACAAAGGCATCCATGAGGGCATACACACATGCACGTAGCCACGCACGCAAGTGACAGCCTCAGCTTCAAGCTGGCTGTAGAGCCCAATGAGGGGCGAGCTGGGATTTGGGGGCACCCTTTGCTGTAGCACAGAGCCTCATAGCCTTGGCTTGAGGTGGGTAAGGACTGTTCAGAGTGGCCCAGGTGGACGGGTGGCTCAGCCCAGAACAGACCTAGTAACGGTTTGTCTCTAGGGCTCTTTCTGCTCAGCCATAAGCCACAAACACTGGGCTGTTTTAGGGTGGAGGGTCTCACGCAGTGCTGGGGTGCCCAGGCAGCCAGGTGGAACTGAGACTTGACCTCTGGTGCCAGAGCACGCGAGCATGCACCCCAACCCTTGAGCCAATGCCTGGAGGAGCCCCCCAAGATCTTAGGAGGCCATAAATAAGGATGGGGTGCTAGTCCCTATGGTGGGACCCACAGAGGGCTCCGGTGGGGAGGTTCTGGCCACCATGGTCTATGAACACTCTGGGTCTGATTCTTCCCTCCCTGCCCACCCCCCAGTTCTCATCGTTTTCCAAACTCAAGGGGAGAGAAACAGTCTTATCTTTTTGGCGCCTTGTGCTCAATCCGGGTCACTTACAGGCGGGCCTGCAAGACACAAGGAGAGAAGCCGCGGTCAGGGTGCGAGAGACCCCACATCCTCCTCCCCTCCCTTCCACCCCAAGCCACTGCCCCAGCATGTGATTCCTGCTTTCTGGCTCAGTGGTCATCAGGAGCCTCACCCGACAGTGCTCAGGGCTTACTCCTGGCTCTGCACTCAGGTGTTACTCCAGGCAGTGCTCCGAGAACCCTTTGGGGTACCGGGGATCGAGCTCAGGCTGGCTGCGTGCAAGGTAAGTGCCCCCCACTGTCCTGTAGCTCCTGCTTTCGGGGTTCGCGTTTAGTCCTGAGGCTGCCCCTGCTCGGGGCCCGGGACTCAGCCACGCTCAACAGGAGGGGAGGGGGGACCTCAGTACTGATGAAAACCCCCATGTTGGCGCTTGCCAGCAGGGGGCATTTTATTTCTAGGAAAGGGAAGAGATGGGGAGAATCTGGGGTAGAGAGGGAGCAGTCTATGCTCAAGGTCAATAGCCTGTGCATGAGGGTGTGTGTGTGTGTGTGTGTGAGCATATATGTGCATGCATGTGAGTGCGTTTGTGTGCATATGAGTCTGTGTGTCTCAAGCACTCACACAGCAAAGCCAACCCCCCCTCCCCTAACCCCTCCCCTACTGCCTCCCCAGCTATTCTGGCCCCCCCGGCTGCTGATTCAGGGGGAGTCTGAGTTTATGGTGCTTCTCGGTTCCGGCAATGCTGGGAGCTTCCTGGGTCCCTGCAATACCCTGGGGACCTCCAGCGTTGAACCCAGAATGCTGGCGGGTGAGGCCTGCAGGACCACCCCATCCTACCATGGAGCAGGTAGCCCGTCAGAGTAGATAATGGGATGGATGGGGGGTATGGCATCTCTCTCTCTCTCTCTCTCTCTCTCTCTCTCTCTCTCTCTCTCTCTCTCTCTCTCTCAGCATCTCTGGATTCTCTCCTCTTCCCAGACCTCCAGGGCCAGGTAAGGCTGAGAGCCCAGATCCATGGCCCAGTCCAGGGACACCCAGGTAGTGACCAGGTGTGGAGTCCCACCCACATGCATGTAGCTGTGGCCAGAGACTAGGATAGCTGGGACAGGGTGACAGGAACTGTTAAGGCACAGCTGAGCCCCAGCGACAGACACAGAGCACAGGGATCACACCCACGCACACATGGCTGTGGCCAGAGACTGCAGAAAGTGAGGGAGAGTGACACAGGGGTCGGACCTGGCTGTCGCTGGCGGGAGATAAGGAGACTACGTGGGAACAGAGGGACGTCACTCATGGGGCAGGTCTACGTGAGGGGTAAGACCAGTGACATTGCTCTTGGATGAAGGCAGGCCTGGATATCTGGGCACGGAAACTGGACCCATCAACTTTTTCTGTACGATAAACTCTAACTTTCAGTCTTCCAAATTTTATATATAAATTTTTCATAAAATTCTCAAGAACCCACCAGCACAGAAAAATCCACTTTGGTGCTAACGATACCCCCAGCCTTGAGCAGTCTCAGAAGCCTCAGGGGTATGCAGGACGCCAGGGAATCCTGGTATTTATTTCAAATAATTTTGGGGGCTTCTGGGTCACACCCAGTGATGCTCAGGGGTTCCTTCTGACTCTGCACCCAGGAATCACTCCTGGTGGTGCATAGAGGACCTGACGGGATACTAGGCATTGAACTCAGACCAGCTGCATGCAAGACAAGCATCCTACCAGCTGTTCAATCTTTCCAGGGTCTTTCCTGGGTTTTCAAATTTAGCTGCTATAATCCGCAGTTATAATCCTAAAGAGACTCACTTTTTTGTTTTTGTTTATGGCTATACTTGGTGATGCTCAGGGGATACTTTTTGCACTCAAGGATCACTCCTGGTGATGCTTTAAGAACCTTATGGGATGCCGGAGATCGAACCAGGGTTGGGTGCAAGCAAGGCAAGCCCTCTCTGCTGTACTATCGCTCCGGCCGGGAGACTCTACATGATGATTCCAGCCCTGAGCCCGAGGTTCCTCTGCCACCGTCAGCTCCAGGGGCCTGCAGAGGCTGAGTCAGGGAGGGGAGCATCGCAAGGGGCACAATAACCTAACTTGTTAAGGTTGGAAACAGGACGGCTGGTGAAGTGTGCGGGGCAGGCAGTCAGCCCCGGCACTGAAACACACTGAATCCAGAAAGAAGGTGGGAGCAAAGGATAAGCAGAAGGGGTTTATCTGGAGGGCTTGCAAAAGGGTGAGGTAACACCCCCCACAGTCTGGCAGAAGAGTCGAGGAGGTGGGAGGTGGCAGGGGGTGGGGAGGCCGGAGGGATGGGAGCCGCCGGCATCAGTGCCTGAAGACAAGTCGAGGTCAGAGAGGTTGTGCCCAGGTTCCAGGCCAGTGGCCCCGGGAGTTCGGGCTGGTGGCTCTGGGGGGCTTCTCTGGCTAGTGCCCTCACTGGGGGTGGGTGGGAGAGGGACACATTCCATGGTGCTCAGAGATGACTCCTGCCGCTATACTCAGGGATCTGTTCCTGGGGAGATTCTGAGGATTCCTGGTGCTAGGGGTGTAACCTGGGTCAGCCAAGTGCAGGGCAAGTCACCCTTACTTTTTTTTTAGTTAACTTGTTTTGGTTTTGGGGTCATACCCAACAATGCTCTGGGGGAACTCTGGGCCCTGTACTTAGATATTACTCCTGGCAGTGCTCAGGGGACCCTACGGGATGCCAGACACCGGGCCCCAGTTGGCCGCAAGCAAGGAAAGCATCTTGCCTGCTGTACTATCGCTTGGCCAAGTCTCTTCACCCCTGCGCTCTCTCGCTCGTAAGCAGTACCTTCGAACAGACGCCAGGATGTGGACACCGAAGAAATCAGAGTGAGGGGGATACAGGGAAGGCAAGGCTGAGTACTGAGAGCGCAGGTGAGGTGCGGGCACAGGAAAGTCTCAAGGGGAGGGGCAGAACGCAGGGATGAGAGGATAACGGCTGGCCCCAGGGGGCGCGGTGAGCACAGGGCCCGCAGAGGGGTGGGGTAGGGAGAGCAGTGGGTGAGGGACTGGAGCAGAGGGAGAGCTAGTGCAGAGGTGAGGCGAGCACAGGACTGGGATGAGCAAAGGGGTGAGCCAGGTGCAGGGACGGGGTGAGCAGAGGGGTTAGGCAAAGACAGGGCTGGGATGAGCGAGGAGCTGGGAGGGTGCGTGGGTGGGGCTATCTGGGGGCGGGGTGAGCAGGGGCTGGGACAACAGGAGGGGATGAGCGGGGGGCGGGGCAGGCGTGTGGGCGGGGCTAACACGAGGGCGGGGCAGGCAGAGGGGCGGGCAGTTGTAGGCGGGGCTAGCAAAGGGGCGGGGCGGGCAGAGGGTCGGTGCATGGATGGGGGAGCACAGGGGCCCAAGAGGCACAGGGGTGCACGCAGGAGGTTCCTGGGGCGGGCAGGGCCAGCCGCTGGCAGGGTGTGTGCAGGGGAGAAGGCGGCGGAACATTCAGTGGGTGTGCGTGGGGCGTGGCGAGCAGATGAGCGGGGTGTGCGCCCATGTGGAGCCCCTGCCTGCAGCTCTGCACAGGGTGGTCAGGCCTGGCTGGGGGACGGGCTGAATTCCAGGGGTCAACTGTGCTGCAGGGAGCCTGGAAAGAAACTAAGAACCCGCTGGGGCTGGTGAATTCACCCTCTTATTTACCGCGTGGGAAACCTAAAGAAACTAACGAGATTGGGTGGGTGGGTGGGGTCAGGGCTGGGGGGTGGGAGTTGGTAGAGGCAGGGTCTGAAGGGGAGGCCCCTCGGCTTGGTTCACGTGGTGCAGTGAGGTAGCTAGGGTTGGGGTGACAGTAACTCGTTTCAGCTTAGGAAATCGGAAAATTGGGGACTCACCGGCGTCGCCTCTTCTTCCGGGCTTACCGCGCCGTCCAGGGGGACCTAGATGGGAAACAAGGGGATACTCTTCATACCAGTGGCCAGTGGCCTCTCCAGCCCCCACACCTGCCCGCACCCGCAGCCCGGGCGCCCCTGCCCCGCCCCACATACCTCTCTCTCTGGCACCAATTCAGTTATTCAATCAACTGTGCATTTATTCATTTCATATCTAGTATCACTCTACAGAAATGAACACCTATAAACTCTTATATTTCTTCTTGCTCCACACCCGGAAGTGTTTAGAGTTTACTCCTGACTCTGTGCTCAGGGATCACTTCTAGTTGGCTTGCGGAACCCTATGGGGTACCTGGGGATCAAACCCAGGTCATCTGCACGCAAGGCAAGCAACCTGCCCATTGTACTATTTTTCTGCCCCACCCCCAACATTTTTTTAAACAAGCTCAGGTCCTTCCTGTAAAAGTTGACCTCAAAATCCACTGGACAATTCCGCTGAGTCTCCAACGATCAGGATTTAGGAGCCCCGGAGGGGAAAGTCAGAGGGCTCTGGATGAAAGAGACAGAAATGACATCATTTGGATGGTTCAGTCCCAAACCTGTGTGGGTCCAGGAGCGGAGAGTGTAAATTGCCTGGGAGCTGAGGAGATAGCTCGTGATTAGGTGCTTGCCTGGCACGTCCCCAGCAACACAAGGGTCCCCAAGTCCTGCTAGAAGCCAGCCCTGAGCACTGCTGGGTGCAGCCTAAACACCCCGCCACGCCGCAAAAAGAAGGAATTTATTGCCAGCCTTGTGGACTGGGGATTGAGATCAGGACACTGAAGCCAAAAAGAAAACCTAAAAGCATAAGCTATAAAAAATATTAAGGGGCTGGAGGGATACGACAGTGGGCTTGCTGCCCTGAATTCAACCCGGGACAATTCCACAGTTCCATACCCGGGACCACCCAGGGTCCACCTCAGCAACGCCGGAGTGATGCTATTTACATACACAACCTGATTGGCCAGCGCAGCAAACCGTCATTTGCATAGGGAGGAGCCAGTTGGCGGCAACAGGCTACAGGGTAGGAGATATAATAGTAACGGCTAAGATCACCTGATCAGAAGGCTCAGGGCCCTGAAGGGCATCGCTCACGTATTTCCACGCTATGCAGTAAAGCTTCTAAAACATCTTTCAAAACTCACCAGAGGGGGCTGGAGAGTTAGCACAGCAGTGCTTGCCTTGCGTGCAGTCCACCTGGGTTCACCCGCATCCCATATGATCCCGAGGCCCACAGGAGTGATTCCTGAGTGCAGAGCCAGTTGTAAGCCCTGAGTATTATCAGGTATGGCCCCAAAACCAAAAACCGAAACAAAACAATTCTGTCGAAGACATGCAACCTCCTCTGGAAAGCCTTCCTGGGTTGCCCACTCTATGTTAAGGGACAATCACTTGATGGACACACTAGGTTAATGCACTAGATGGAACTCTGAGCCCACCAGCCAGCCTAGATTAAGAGGACCCCTTCACCTACTGCCCCAATCAGGAACCGTGTTCCCATCCCCCTTAGTCCACAAGTTGTCCCAGACTCAGGCTGACTGCAGTGAAACAGGACTGAGATTGGAGGGCCGAGGTCAGTGAGCGGGGACTCCCTCATGGTAAGAGCCAGGCCGAGAGTAATGTGAGTGGTCTTCCTCGGAGCAGTCCTGGGGAACCACTTGGCATGTGTCTAACCTGGGGGAGGTCCCGAGGTCCCCAGATAATCAGGCCCATGTGTGTGGGAGACAGGCCTGGTTATTTTCTCCAGAATTTATGAGAAGGGGGAGAGTTCCCTCTGACCTCTCTTTCCGAAAAAGGCCTCTCCAGCAGAGCTGCAGGCACGCTGACAGCCCCTGCTGCCATGTGTTTTTCGTCTGGGGCACATTTTAGCACCCCCCGTGGGGAGGGCGCATTCCTGCCAAGGCCCCCAAAACCAGCCCTGCACGGTGCACCTCCAGTTCACCCGTCCCCAAAGCCGTCCTGTTCTGCTCTCCAAACAGAGCTGCAAGTGGAGTCAAAGTTTATTTTGTGTGCGGGTGACTGTGACTTGTGTGTGTGTGTGTGTGTATGTGTGTATGTGTGTGTGTGTGTGTATACTTAAAACAAATAAGGCCCAGAGTGTTTGTGAATTCTTTATCCTGGTCTTTCTCTGTGGGTGCCAGGCACAGCCCCTGCTGTTCACCTTCCAGAGGATGGGGGTAGAGCAGGCAGGAGTCAGTGTCCTGTGAATGCAATCTTTCAACCCGCTCCCACTCTGGCCCCCTGTTCAGTCAACCTGTGTCACTCTTCTTGCTCCTTTACTTCCACAGAGGCTCTCACGGCAGCTTACCCAGCTATTGGTCCTGCCTCAGAACAGCTATTCTGGTTTTGTTGTGAATGAACAGCTTCACTCCTCAAATCCCATATTCCTCTGCACCTCTCAGCTTACTAGCTTACCAGTCTCCGCATTCATTCTTTGAATCATCGTCTACTCAGTCATGCACCAGACATTCTCTCGGTTTCTCTGGTACCTGTTCACCCCACCATCCCCATTCACACATCCTTCCAGTCTACTGCTCATGTGTCCATTGTTTGTCTTTCACCCATCAACAACCCATTCTTCCATCCATCACCTGTCCATCCATCCATCCATCCATCCATCCATCCACTATTCAACTATCTCCCTCTCCATTTTTGTCCATTTATCCATCCATTCATTAATCCATCCATCCATCCTTTGTGCACACATCCAACTATCCATTTTTTTTTCTTTTTTGGTCCCACTCGGCATTGCACAGGGGTTACCCCTGGCTCTTCACTCAGGAATTACTCCTGGCGGTGCTTGGGAGACCATATGGGATGCTGGGAATTGAACCTGTGTCAGCCGTGTGCAAGGCAAATGCCATATCCACTGTGCTATAGCTCCAGCCCTCATCTATCCGTCTTTCTATCCACCCATCCATCCATCAATCCTCTTGTCCATCCATCCATCTGACCATCCACCAATTCAATGTTAACCAGCTCTATGCCAGACACTGGAGATATTTATTCTTCTCAGAACCTCACATTAAAAAAGGACAGTGCTACAGTGCTATTAAAGCACCATGATTTACCAAGTTATTTATAGTTGGATGTTAGATACTATGTTCCAGTACCATCCCACCACCAGCATCTTCTTCCCTCCACTAGGGTCCCCAGGTCCCTCCCAACCAGCCTGCCACTTTGACAGGAACATTTTTAAGTTTGATTGTGTTTTTTGTTTGTTTGTTTGTTTCTGGGCCACACCTGAAGATGCTCAGGGGTTACTCCTGGCTCTGCACTCAGGAACAGCTCCTGGCGGTGCTCAGGGGACCATAGGGCATGGCAAGCGCCTTACCCATTGTACTATCACTCCAGTCCCATGGTTGTTGAAGTTGGGATCTTTTGTTTTCAGAGCTGTTGACTGGTTTGTATACTGTCTACACCACTGATGTACTCAGGCCCCCTTGGCCCCTGCTCCCTGTTGCTCCCTATCTCTTCTCCCCCAGCTCCTCGCCCCCACCCTCAGGTCAATTTTTTTTCTTTCTCTGTGCTTCTCCCTAAACTCCAGAGCCAAAGGTAACGGAGGCATCTCCCCCTTTCAAACATTGCATTGCCTTGTACAGTGAGATCATCCTGTTTGTCACACTAGAGATACTTAAATGAGCACATTCAATTCCTAAGCGCACGTGCAAACAGCCAATCAGAACAGGACTCAGAAAACTATCTTAGCCACAGGAGCTGGGGAAGGGGCACAGATGCCCAGCAATAGTTCAGGAACGGGAGAGGCAGCAGCCTGGGGCCAAGGGCTGTGCTGGATCATTCCCAGCCCGCTCCCACCCCTGAGCCTTGGCTACGGTCCTGTGAGCCCCTCTATTTTCCGTCTCTCTCAGATTTGGTCCTGACAGTAGCAGACCTATCATCCAATCCATTCGGAGAGAAGGAAGGCAGAGAGGGGGAGCCCCATTTCTAAGCTGAAGGAGGGGTGCCGGAGAGGCTCCACGGCAGCTTGTACTGGGGGGAGGTGGTGCTCCCAACCCAGGTATACCTAGGACCTGGGCCAGACGCTTGGGGTCACTTGCGGTCAGAGCACACCGAACTTCCCAGAACTGGCAGATGAGGTGCAACCCTTCTCTAGGAAACCTGGGTCTAAGGTTCCACGTGCACAGAAAGGCCCCGCCCCCATCAAGCCCCGCCCACATTTCTGTCTCCGCCTACATTGGGCTCCACCCACCGGGCTGGCTCCGTCCCCCTCAGGCCCATCCAGAACTGGGATCCCGAGGGTCACTCTGGCACTATCTCTCTGTTTTGGCTGAGGGCTGCCCCTGTTTTAGTGCTCAGGAACCACTCTGGGAGTCGCTCGGGGATCCTGAAGTCAGCCATGTGCAGGCAAATGCCTTCACTCCTGTAAGTGCCTCCAGCACCTCCCCCCTCTACACTCTCACCCCTGCGCAAAGTCTCTGCACCCCCACCCAGAACCTCCTCCTGTGGGTTCCTCAGAACACCCGGCTGACCACACAACCCTTGATCACGCCCATGAGCAGGGCTTCGGGATTTGCAGCGCTAATACTCCCCAGACGCCAAGCTCGTCTAGTGAAGAAGTGCTGACCAGATGTGCACAAAAGCACACACACAAGCACACACACACACACACACACACACGAGGCAGAACGCATTTGTTTGCATTGCATCCTGCAGGGCACATCTGTGTGCTGTTGCGGGGAGCAGACCACCTTGCAGACACATCCAGAAATTCCAATGGGGACGGGTGGGGGTGGGGAAGGGGACAGGGAGGAACTTTTAAGGCTGGCAGAAGGCAGGAATGGGAGATGGGGCATGGTGGGACAGCAGGTAGGACATTTGCTGATGAAAGCAGCAAGTAGAGCTGGCCGCCAGCTCTTGGCTCTGAGGTCAGGCCTCCTGGCCTAGTTTCAGGATCTCTTTGCCAAAAGGGTTTGCAAAGTTTGCAAAAGTCATTTGTTTATTTCCAGGTGCAAAGGACCTGGGATCCTATTTCTCCTTGGGCTGGCGGA